GGCAGGCGGTGCACTGCAGCCCCTTGGGGACCAGAACACCTGCAGGGCCAGCGGAGTGGCTTGGGGTGGCCAGAGCCGGTGGCTGGCAGCCTTCCCACCCTCTCCCCTGCCCCGGGACAGGGAGGAGGTGGGCAGTGGCACAGGCAGGTCTGGGGAGACAGGGCAGGACAGTAGCATGGGGAAGACCTCTCTCCTCACCACCCCACTACAAGCTGCTGTGAAATCCCGTTTCCAAGGCAACGTGGGGGTCCCTCAGCTGGGAGCAGGCAGGGCAGGGCTGGGCTGGGCTGGGCTGTCCCTGCTGCCCTGCCTGCCCACTAGCTTGCCCCTTGGTGCTGCCCGCTGGGCACCCCACAGCTCCTGTCTGGGGGTGATGCTGGCATTTCCCTGAGCGAGGGGCAGCCGAGCTGGCTGGTGTCCGAGTGACGCCCGGTGGGGTGCAGGGAGGCTCCCCCCTCCTGACAGCTTCTCTCCTCTTCCCCTGGCATCACCTCCCTTCCCCCAGCTCTGGAACATGGGACAAGCCAGGCCCTGCTGCCACGCCAGGGGCTGGGTAGGGAGCTGGTCCCTGCCCCGCTGCCCTCAAGGGCTTTGGTGGCAGAAGAGGGTGAGTGTGAGGTCTGTAAAGCAGCTGCTGGTTGAGGGTCCCTGTCTGTAAACCCACACTCCTGTCTGCCTCTTCCGTTGCTCTCCAAAAGCCAGCGAGGCAACGAGTCTTGAGCCTAAGCAACAGGGCACCCATCTACTGACCCTCAGCAGTGCTGGAGGCAAGAAGGTGCCTGTTTGAGGTGCCATCTTTCCGCACGGTGTCTGTGAGGAGGGGTCTCAGTGATGCCCAGCCAGTGGGACGCAGTGGAGCTGTGCCCCAGCAGCCCAGGCAGCGCAGGCAGCACCAGCGCTGGGCTGCCAGGCACCGCTCCAGCGGCCTGAGCAGTGCTACGTGCCAGCACCACTCCCTCAGGAACCCCAAAGCCATCAGCCCCCCCACAGTGACACACAAACTCACCTCCTGGGTGTTGGGCTGGTGACCCCGACCCCAGGCAGTGCTCCAGACAGCGAGGCCAGGGTGGGAGCCCACCACCCCCTGTCCTTCCAGGGAGCCCTTCACTGCCAATGGCACGAAAAGGGGTGTTTCTCCTGCCAGCTCTGGGGAAAAGCCTGCTCTTTTCCCAGCCTGCTGGCTTCTTCCCACAGCCAGCCTGCAGACACCAGCACGGGCTCCATCTGCAGCTGCCACCCAAGCCAGGCCTCGGGTGCTGGCAGAGCTCCCCGGTGCCAACACGCACTGCCCTGGAGCAGGAAAGGCACATGGGAGAGGGGACACCAGCATCTCTCGGATATCCCCTGCCACTGGGAGACACAGCATACCCCCCCTTCCCTCATATCACCTCTGCGGGGAGGGAGAGCCCCCCACCATGTGGCAGAGCTTGCCAACGATGTGGAGACAAGCAGGAGCTTGGCAGGTTGGCGGCAGGTTGGCAGCAGGTTGGCAGGCTGGGTCCCGCACACAGCCCCGAGCCCCGCACATGGGTAACACTGCTTTACCTGTCATGGAGCTGCTCCATGCCTGAACCCGCAGCTTTCACCAGCTACACCACATCTCACCACACTGAGGTCTGCTGAGCCATGGGGACCCACCGGGCTCAGCCACCATGGCTCTCCGGAGGTGCCAGGGGACCACATCCCTTTGTTCTGCCAAAGTGGCCGAAAGACGAAGGCTGGACACTCTCCACAACACCCCAGGGCCAGGAACACAGGTGACATGCCCGAGATGCTGAAGGCTTGTTTTGAAGGATGCAAATCCACAAGTTAAAAAGGCTCAACCGCTTGCCCTGGTATCTGTAAGCAGCAGACTGAGCCAACGCTGGATTAATTATATTATGCCATGGTTGAGACTGTTGCTAGGTTACAGCAACCGGTCCCTAAGCCCATCCTACTGCGGGATTCCCCAGAATCACTCTTTTTCAAGCTCGGGGGCATCCCAGGAGGAGAGAGAAGCACCAGGATCTCCCCAGGAAGCAGGACCCTTGACTGCGGGGGAGCTGCCGGCAGCACACCCCTCAGACACCCTGCCCGCTCGCTGCCCTCCCATCAGCCCTGCCCGGGGCCTGCTGCAGCCCCGGGGTCTGTCTGGCCCCACAGCACCTCATGGAGCCCGGGGCTGCTCGCAGGGCAGGCATCCTCCAAGAGCACCTGCAAGTTCCCACATTCACTTTGTGTCCTGCTAAAACCTGAGTTTCAATGACCTTTCCATGTTCATGGCAGAGGGGAAGGAAGCAAATTCCCACCCTGGGCCTTGGCAAGCCAGGGAAAAACTTATGACTTTGCAAAAGTGACAGAAATAGGGTGAAGCTGAATCCCTCAAAGGGCAGGATCATCGCACTCCTTGCATGTGACCCTTGTCACAGGTCACGAGGAATGACGAAGACTTGGTGCACCGGGGAGCCAGCTGCCAGTGCAATTCCTCAGCGGGGTCCAGCTGTGGAAAAGGCCAGCCCCACCGCAGGGCGCAGCAGGAGACGTATTGTCTGGGAATCATAAGGCAGCAGCCCTGGCATGGCCTCATCTGGACTGGCACGGCCACGGAAATAGGAACTCAAAGGGGCTCGGGAACAGGACGGCTGCTAGCCCAGCCGGGGGACAGCCTGCCCAGCAGGACAAAGGAGCAGCAGGGCTATAAGCCCTGGCTGCAGAGGGCTAGGAGCGAAGAGCAGTATTTAAACAGTGCTGGCAAAGGAACAAGTAAACATAAACTGGCCAGGAATAAATCTGGATGGCAATTGCCAGATGACTCCCGAGGCAGAAGACTGATGGACAGCTTCCCACAGGGATGCCAGAAACTGAGCTGGTTTGGGGTGGTGGGAGCTGGTGGGAGCTGCAAGGACCAGTCAGTCTGTCCTTGTGCTATTTTTCTACCTGGTATTTCAGTAACAGGGTGGAAAAAGCCATCAGTTGGGTATCAAGAGACACGGTCCTTTTGGCACAGGCTGCGGTACACGGCGCAGCAGCAGCGCTAAGCAGCTTGAGTCTCTTGCAGGGCTGAGTTTTGTGACAGCCATGAACACAGATTAACATGAAGAAGAGCTTTAGCACGCAGGGAGAGCCACCTGTGCTAAGGAGACAGGCCATCAGGAGAAGGGTGCTGTGAACATGCTGCCTTTGCCCAGGAGGAGTCCAGGAGAGGACATGCAAACCCAGAGGAGGCAGCTCCAGGCTGCTCAGGTGCAGGTTTGCTGGAAGTTCTCCCTGAACCTGGCTCCTGGCTGGGGAGCCAGAGGGATGCGGGCACAGAAGGGGTGCTGGGAAGCCTGTGGAGATCAAGATGTCAGCCTGCTCCTGCTCTCGGAGTATAACTTCACCCACATCCTGTCACAGCAAGCAGCTGCATCAAGTCACACGCCAGGAGTTGCCAAGAGCGACAGGAGCTGCTAACCATCACGCTGGATCGTCCCAGTGCAGGGACAGGTACAGCAAGGGACACTCCCCCAAATAAATGCCGGGCACACAGCACCCGTTCACGTCTTGGGTTAAAAGCACAGCCCTGGTGGTCCCAGCTGGGATGCTACACACAGAGCAGACACCCAGCCTGCTGCGGGGGAGGGATAAACGCCTCATCCCCTCTCCTGGAGGGTGGCCAGATCAGCCCAACGCTCAGCGAGCGGGGGCGACTCATCAGGCAGCTCCTGCTCCACTCCCCGCAGAGGTGGGCCATCAGCTGAGCAATCCCGGCCGGGAACAGGGACCTCAGAGCTCCCTCTCGGGACTCACCGTGTGTGCTCTGGCTTCAGGCCGGCGCAGTGGGAGCCGAGACACAGCCGCATCACGGCCGCGGATCTCACGGCAGGGGAGCCAGTGCCCCCAGCAGCAGCCCCCAGGGACGGGGCTCCCCGTGCTGCGCTCGGGACCCAGGCCCAGCTGGCAACAAACACAGTGATAAACTTGCACTTCTCCTCCTGCTGCTTTAAACCAACCACAGGGAGAAGACCCTGGACTAAAGCCCCCGGACAGCATGCAGCTCTGGCCAGCATTAACTGTAAGGAACTGCAGCTCCTCAGCCTCAAGCTCTTGATTTTTTTTTTATGGCTGACTGATAAACCCAAAAGCAACTACACTGCTACCTCCAGAGATGCTCACAGGAACTATTTATATCTATGTGATCTTGCAGAAGCTTCCCTGTAATGACAGGCACGTACACACACTTTTTATATTTAGCTTATTCGAAAGACAGGGCATGGGAGAGCCCAGCTCAGGCGAGGTCTGTTTCTCTCTCCCCTCACACCCTCACCAGCACGGGATTATACCTTGTGCTGCAACCCTAACAGTTCAGCACTCCCTGAAAAATGGAGAAGTTTAGGTCTAAAAAGTGTCTTTTTCCTGCTATTCCCGTCCATGCTCCCTCCTCACCCACTGGGGGGGATTTCTCTGGCCTTGCTGCCAAAGCCAAAACACGCCACACACCCTCCTGGGGCTCTGCTGTGCATAAAGAGAGCTCCCGCATCTGCTTTTCTCTTTTAAAGGAGCATTTTGGAACACAATGACTCATCTTTGCTTGTTTTTGTCTCAGCTCCTTGTACTGACAAGGAACACGCGCCGCAGGAGTGTAAAGGCTCCCACAGTGGTCAAATCTGGCCCAGGTGAAGACAAACCAACGCCAGCATCAGTGTCTGCAGGGGACTCAGTGCCCGCACGGCCTTCTGCTGCCCAAGGGCTGTGCTCCTGAGGAAGCAGGGCTGAACAAGCACTGTCTCCCTTGTACTATGTGGAACAGCTCTCAGGACGCACCACAGTTTTGGGCAAGAACTCATGGTTTCTGCCTTCAACTTTTTTTTTTTGTGTGTGTGATTTTTGATTTAGAACCCTCTTCCCTGACGTGTAAGAATATAGCAGCATAAGGAGGGGGCAAGCAGGACGATGCCCTTCTGTGAAACAGCCCTGGGGGGACACGCAGCTCCTGAGCCCAGGCGGACATGCATGTGATGGAGAAGAAGATGTGCAGAGGCGGTTGTACAACAGAGCTTTATAGTCAGAATGGATTGTACCGGGTTTTTTCGATGCAAAATGGAACATGACCCAAAATCTTGGCCGAACAGAAGCGCTTTCAGGAAGGCGGCCCGCTGAAGCTCAGACACAGGAGAGGCCACACACCAGTCCCATCCCGATCCACTGCTTCCTCCCCAGACGTGCAAAGTTTGAACTGTCCCATGCAATCTCCCTATAGTCAAATGAGATGTAGAAATGCTCCCAGAAGTAGGCAAATGCCAATGGCAAACAGACCTGAACAATATACTGCTCATGCAGCAAAAAACCCCATCTGATTTACAGGGAAACAGTTACAAGTGTATTTTGGGGGCTGGAGGAAAGAAAAAGAAAAATGGAGCAGGTAACTGCCTGCTGAACTAGAGAACTCTGAAATGGATAACGGCTGAAAAGAACACCTTGCTTTATAGTGTTGTAGAAGGAAACCCCAGTTTGGATTTCATGGTTGACATTTTACAACAAAAAGGGGAAAAAGAGAACAAAACCAAATGTCAAATCAACCTGCAAGCAACAGGGTAACGTAACGCACAGATCCTTGAGGGAGCTTCACCGTCTGAGCTGCGAAAGGGACACCAGAACCAAAACAGAAGGGGATTCAGAGATCAAACACAGGGGCTGAGACACAGGCAAGTGCGAAGGACCGGCCTGTAGTGCTCACCCAACAGCAACCGATGCTACTGAGCAGGCACCAACCCACGGGTCTAAGTTCAAAGCAAAAACTAAAAGACTTCTCAAACTCCTGGGGCAGGAGGAGGCTCTCCCCTTGGGCGGGGGGATGCACCACATTGGCTGCTGGGGGGCCTGGCCCTGGAACTGCAGCTGCAGTGTCGGCAGAAGCCGGGCCGGGCAGGATGCTGTCTGAGCTACATTGGTCCCTCAGAGCAGAGACGCAGCCCGTGTTTTACAGCGTGACCATAAAATGCCTGAGAAGCAAATGCCTTGCCATGCTAACACTTCCCTGGAGTCAGTTCTGAAGCTCTGGATATCTTCATTTCCACATGAGAGTCATGTCCCTGAGAGGTACTGAAGGGAGGGGATTCTAGTATATGCAAATTCAAGAGTGGGAAATGCAGAAGAGCACGGATTTTTTCTCTCTTTTTCAGGTTAGCTTTGCACTTTGCATTGTTTTCCCAAACTGCATAGCAGCTTACGTGTAGTGTCCGAGACACTGGGGCCACGGAAATCAATGGGGCTTCATGAATTCCAACAGCAGCACCAGTGAGTGCTAATTAAACTGCTGTGCAGAAAGGTCCCGTTGAAAGGACTCCAAAATCACATGCACACTCTCACTCTGGCCCTGTGGCTGCTGTCATCGAGAGCTGCACCACAGCACAATCTGCTTGATTTAAAGCTCATCATCTGCTGGGAGGAGCAATGGCCAGTATCACCTTTCTCATTAAAAAATATAGGAAGGATAAAAAGTTAAAGACTTGAGACAGGCGAGCACAATGAGTTCATGCGGCATGTTTTGTTGCACTCCCCTTAACAAGACAGGAATTTCAGGTGTGCAGGAGTGGAATATAGCAGGGGCAGAGCAGGAGGCAGGGTCCCCTTTGCCCCCCACACCCTGCCGGCTACCGACAGGGCATCTCTGGAAGGAGAAAAAACAACAGCCTGGAAGTGGGCCTGGGAACTGTGCCCCGAACCTTCCCCTTACTCAAGTACATCTCAGCTGGATTTTCTTTGTGTAACGAATGCACCAGAACAGCACACACAGATGTAAAGCTTTTGTTTTGCCAGCTCTGTTTGGAGAGAATATATGGCAAACGGCCAAAGCTTTACACATCTGCACCTGTCCTGGTGTGACTTGTAAGAAGATGGAGACAGCCACGACAGAGTCTGCTGCGCACACACGCAGCCAGCCTACAGCTCCTCATAGTCCCCACCTCCTCGTGGCTTGCTCATGCTGGCTCCTCCTCCTCCAAGAAAAGCCTCAAGTTCATCTATCTCATTGTTTTTCTCCTTGCTCTTCTTTTTCTTTTTCTTTTTCTCTTTCTCCTCTTTGCTCTCCTCCTTCTCTTTGCTCTTCTTGTGTTTGCTCTTCTTTTTCACAGACTTCTCCTCTTCCTGCAAAATGAGAAAATTCTGATTAATAAATCCTCTGAGCATGCCAGTAACCCAGCATATATCACCCTGAAACTTGGCTCTGATGGGAACCTGACTAAGGGTGAAGTATCTACTACCAAGGCTGGTTTGGAGGTCATTCCAGAAGACCCTTCTGCGAGCTTGGACAGAAGAGAACCAGGACCATCTGGTTTATATGTAGCAGTGGTCTGCCAGGTAGCTTGTGCCCGACAATACCACAGTATTGGAGAGGCAGAAATGTCAAAGACAAAGCCCCCTGCAGACTTCCCTTGCTGCCCCTCAGATTAAGTCTGTCAGGGACAACCCTCTGCTTGGAAACAGTCATGGTGCTACCAACAGACTCAGCCCAGCAGAGATGCACTGCTCTATTTAATCCTGTATTTTACAAACACACCGTGCCTTTATGCAATACAACTGCTCTAAAAGCTTGCTTTTAAGCTGCAGGAGGTTAGTGGTCTGCAGAGCCTGGGGGGCACAGAACTGGCTGTAGGGTGGGAGGATGGAAGGAAGCCCACCAGGCACACAGAGTACGCTGTAGAAGGCCAGCCCTCGCCTTGGTTGGTAGATAACATGGCAAGTCAGCTCTGAGGAATTAAATAGTACCTCTTTGCTTTTCTTTTTCTTCTTCTTTTTCTCCTTAGAAGTTTGTTTATCTGTTCAAACAAAAAAAAAATGTTTTTAATCAACTGAAGCTGAAGAGATGCAATTCTGCCCTGCCCCAATTTCCAAGAACAAAATGCTCCATCCTGGAGCCATTGGTAAAGTCAATCATGACTCCTCCAGAAAAACTGTGCCCCTTTAGAAACCAACCCAGGCCCCCGCAGTCACACCCTCATCTAACCAGCTGTATCTAGTTTAATTATAAGCATTATATTATTTATGTTATTATGTGTTATGAACCTGGATGTTTGCTGTATCACAGGTACTAAAAAACAGAGACACCAGCTCTACGAATTGGTCCAAAGGCCAAAGTGGGGACCAGATTATTATTTCCAGAACTGAGAAGGAGCTTCTGGGAACAATTCCCGTCTGACCACTAAAGATTCAAGGGCAGAGAGAGATCCCAGCAGGCACGGTTTGTGTTTCTGTGAGTCAAAGTACCGGCAGGACCATTCAAGTGATGGTGCCGGCAGATGGGAGCAGCCCAACGCTCACTGCTGTCAAACTGTGCACTGAAGTTCTATCACCAAAGTATCAGTGCTGCAGCCCTGCTCTACTGGGGTGGCTGCTTTCATGGTATCAAATGAGTCCCAGAGTCCATCACTGTGAATCATTTGTCACAGGTTACTCTGGTTGATGACCTGGCTGCTAATTAGACTGCTGAACATCCACTGCCTTTGCACAAAAACTTCTGGAATGGAAGAGTATAGAATCATAGAATCATATGGGGTTGGAAGGGACCTCTGGAGATCATCTAGTCCAACCCCCTGCCAGAGCGGGTCTACCTACAGCACGTTGCACAAGAATGTGTCCAGGCGGGTTTGAATGTCTCCAGAGAAGGAGACTCCACCACCTCTCTGGGCAGCCTCTGCCAGGGCTCTACCACTCTCACAGTAAAGAAGTTCCTCCTCATGTTTAGGTGGAACTTCTTATACTCAAGTTTGTGCCCATTTCCTCTTGTCCTGTCACTGGGCACTACTGAGAAAAGATCAGCCCCGTCCTCCTGTCACCCTCCCTTTAAGTATTTGTACGCATTAATCAGATCTCCCCTAAGCCTTCTCTTTTCCACACTACAAAGACCCAAGTCCCTCAGCCTCTCCTCTTAGGAAATATGCTCCAGGCCCTTAATCATCTTTGTGGCCCTTTGCTGTACCCTCTCCAGCAGCTCCCTGTCCTTCTTGAACTGGGGAGCCCAGAACTGGACCCAGTGCTCCAGATGGGGCCTCCCCAGGGCAGAGCAGAGGGGCAGGATGACCTCTCTCGATCTGCTGACCACACTCTTCTTGATGCACCCCAGGATGCCATTGGCCTTCTTGGCCACAGAAGCGCATTGCTGGCTCATGGTCATCTTATTGTCCATGTATCTACTTGTCTGTTTCACAGGAGGGTTTATAACTGCACCACATTTCACATGTGGTATTTGGTTGCCAATCTTACCTACACATTCTTTTCCTTGCTTGATCTGTAAGCACAAGTTAGCCATGGAGAAGTCTAATTGCTGGTCAAGTTCCAACTGACTACCAAAACACATTTTTATATTTTTCCCAGAAAGAGGAGACAGGAGAAACCCACGTTGAATTATTAAGGATGCTAAACTCAAGATAAATTATTGACTTGGGCCTCTGCAGATCTATTTCAAACTGTGCTGTTCAGCAACTCAGAGCGACAAGCTGATGAAGCCCTCGCAGCCTGTGACACCTTGCTTACACTTTTGGAATAGCTATTCAAACAGATCTCTCTCTGGTGCTGCTTACAGCTTTTTCTCCCCTTAAGTCTTTTAACTTCTCATCTTTCGTGGTGACATCAGGGGCAGATCTATAGGAAGTTGCTTTGCAGTAATGCCAAGACAGCAGAAAATACTTGTGTAAGTAAGATTTGTTCCCTCAAGGGATGGGAATAAAAAAGACAAGCCTGAGGAATACTTAGGTTGTGATCAGAACCCAAACCCACCTTTCCGAAAAACAGAAGAGCAAAATGGCAGGATATGTCAGAGCATTTTGTTCCAAATGATCCTAATTCTGGAGGGGGTGGATACTGCAATGCCCAGCATCACTTCCCAGGCACACAGCACTAAGCAGGAAGCCCTATACAGAAGCAGCTTGTGAAGGACATGCTCCTGCTTCCACCCGGGGCAGAAATAATACAGGGCTGATGCCACGGACGAGCCCAGTTCTCCCCCTCCCCATGGGAAAAAACTTAAAGAAAGTTATTTATTCCATGTTAAACCACATTAAAGACTCACACAGGGCACTGCACGAAGTTACAGGGTATTTTATTTAGTGCAAATTGGTTTGCTAACACCCTGGAACCATTTTGGAAAGAACAGATGCCTGACAAAGAAAATCAGCAAGAATGTAAACAAGGTGTGACCTTTACCTTCCTCACTGCTCTCCTTGGGACCAGTTTCTTCCAAACCCAAACCGAAGAGATCTGCGTCATTTTTCAGTTTAAAGGAGTGGACTGTTGATTTCACAGGCTGGGGTGGCTTTGCCAACGAGGTATCGTCATCAGATATTTCAGAGAGATCTTCCCGGACTGGGAATTCATCCTAGAGACCAGAACCAACAACACAGACAAATCTTTCAACTAAAATCTCTAAGCATTTTGTATACAAAGACGTAAGATGTCAGTGCATGGGGAGGAGGGAAGGCAGTGGTAGCTGAGCTGAGCTGTTACTGCCTGGAAATCAATGCCCTTGATCTTATAAGCTCTATCTATTTCTTGCCTCGGTAAAATGTGTCGGTAGCAATTGTACTGGAAAGTCTGCTCTGAAAACATAACTTTTGTGCGACCAAAATCAAATTTCTGATGTAAAGGGATTAAACGAGACCTTCAACTGTGTTAGCTCAATGGCATCAGCCTCTAACTGCCCTAGAGAGGCACCTCTGTTTTGGGGGAAAATCAAATCTAACAGGCTGAGAATTCACCTCCAGACCTGAGAGACAAAACCTTTTCCCTGTGCAGCTTAGTGGGGTCTCACGTATCAGAGGTACCGTGCAGCAGGGCCAGGGATGGGCTCTGTGTTCGCAGAGTAACTCCCTTCATCCAGTCAAAAGGGAATGCGCTCCCAGGGCAAATTTGCCCCTTCAATGTGGACTAAGCCTCAGGACGCTGCAAAGACTGGATATCACCCAAACCCCCTCTGTCTCTGCATGATGGGAATGGAAATGAAGTTTAATGATCTTCTGATATCTGCCAACCCATCTTCTTCAGAATTTGTTAGCCACCCTTTCTTTACGTCCTTCATATCGACCAAACAGGGCCTCGCGCTGCTGCTCACCCCGGTGATGCCCCTCCTCCTTGCTAAGGGTGGTGTTTTTACCGCTTTGCCTGACCCATAACCCTTGGACTGAAAAGCATCCACAAGTTGCGGGGCGGCTCCTTGTCACTGTCGCAATGGCCAACTCCCTCACAAACCCCACTTCTCATCACTGCATGCTAAGAGAAGTAAACCTGCGGCAAGTATTTCTGCTTTCACATTGAAGTGCCAGGAAAAGCAGGTACTGAAACTGCTAAAGGAATGGAAAATTCCTTAATAAACAGCATGACACATAGGAAAGGTCAAAGAAACTGGGACAACCGTCCTTTCTGCAGGATTCTGGAATTGAGGCAAACACGTAAGACACTCCTGAATGCCAGCTAACCCTGAACAACAACTGCTCTCCCAAACCATGGAGAGCAGCTTCTAGAAATGCAGATCACCGAAATCAGGGATATCTAGAGCCACAGCATCAAGTTCCTACCAGCCCAGAAAAGATGCTTGTGTTTTCTCCATCTTCAATAGACGGTGGGTGCAGAGGGGACCCTGCTGTGCCATGTATCTGGGCAGACCCCCACGTGCCCAGCATCACACTGACACTAGGGCTGACCTGGCTGTATGGGAAAGGCCTTCTCTGGCAGAGTCCCCTACTTCAGTAAGGAGCTTGCCAAGCAAATTTTATTATGGCCTTTTTACTGCTGGTTTGATGGTAGAGAGCTCACTTGTTGTCTCTCTTTGGCATGTACACACTTCTGCATGTTAAACTTTGGGTGAAAAACCATTAGCTTTGTATTTTATACCTTCCACACTGCTGGACTGACCACACTTTGGATTTGCTGAGAATAAACAGCACATTAAAACTCATAAGCACAAACCTTGCTGCTGTGTAGCTTAAACAATGAGAGCATTAGTGGGTTTGTGCCTGTATCAATCTCTCCAGGTTGCTTAGCACCTGATGTGCTGCGACTGCCGCTGCGAGAGGGGAGAGCAGATGAAAGGTCTGCTCAGGGAGATGCCTCAACACTCCAAGCTCAGCTTCAGCACACAGCAATTTGTGCATGTTATTTACCAGTTTCTTCTTCTGGCTGTCAGAATCCTCACTTTCGAAGTCTGGGTCATCCATAACAAATGAGAGCATCTGAGTAGCTATTGGTCCCTCTTGATCACTGTCAGACTCCTCAGGCTTCTCCTCTTTGACCTCTTTCTGCTTGAGAGCGTGTCCTTTGCTTTGGGCAGTGCTCTTTGGGGCCTGGGCTGCCGCTGGGGTGGCGGCAGCAGTAGCGGGCAGGCTGGTGTTCACCTTGCTGCTACTGTTTCTTTCGGGCCCAGCACGTGGAGGTAAACTGTCAGGAGGCTTAGGGTCAGTTGCTTTGGTCAAAATTGCTTCACTCTGTGGTTTCAGAGAATTTCTGGAAGACCTGAGAAGAAAGAAATAAATGTCAGAGCCTGTCCACACTCCCACTCTGTGAAGCAAAGCACAAACAGCAATTAACAGCTGAGCCTGCCTGAAAGGCTACAGTGTGCATCTCAACAGGAGAGGCAGTTCATCCCAGGGGTGTGTGTGTTCAAACACAGCCCACTCTGAAGCTGAAGATGACCCTCATGTCCCTGCGGATGCTGATGCAGAGGTGCCTGTGCCGGCGGGCGATGCCTGATTATCAGCCACAGGATGTGGTGTGTGGAGAACGTGATCCTGGAGAACATCATTCCCCAGCACAAGGTGTGGGGAATGACTTCCACCCCCTTCACCATGAGACTTGACTCCTCCGTGCTCACGTTGCTATGAGCAGATGTTCTGGCACTCAGTTGCAGCTGCTTGTTCAAACTTGAGAAAAAGGCTGAGCCATTCCCAGGCTGGTACAGGAAGGTACCAGCAACCACCGGAGCGCAGTGCTGAGAGGCACTGCTCAGATGGAGTGCAGAAAACACTGCAGAAAGCAGTCACACCCTGAGGTGTGACTTGAGCGCCAGCTCACAGCTCGAGCAAACGCCTGACAGTGACACCAGATTTTCCCAGAGGTGGCACAGAAGTCATTGGCAGGACCGAGAAAAGGCCCAAGTTTGCCAGTATGACCCCACACTTCAGGTTGTGCTTCGTACCTTTTTTTTTCCTGCTCCATGTCAATGTCATCATCAGGTATGAGCGAGACCTTTGAGTTCTTCACTTCGTCCTCTTCCTCCTCCTCACTGGAGAGGGTGACATTCTTGCTGGGCACCCGCTCTGCTGCCAGCGTAGGTCTGCTGGGGATTTTGTCATCCAGATCCAGGTCATCTTGGAAGCCTGCCACCATAGGGTTCCCCCCGGGCACCTCTCCATCACTGCAAAGCAGACAATGATCAGACCCAGCACCCCCAGGACATGCCAGGACAGACGTGCCTCACCCTTGAAAGCAGACTGTCGCTCGCCTGGCTTTTCCTGCCACCTTCAGAGCCCGTGTCCCTCAGCCCAGCTGCTGCCCTGCCAGCCTCCCCACTGCCCAGCCACTGCCCCGTCCAGGCTGGGCCCCTCTACAAAACGGGCCACAAAAGGATGTGTGATATCAGTGGCTGCTACCACTCAAGCTGAATATAAGTGCTGGAAAAGGTGAGCTCCAGTGCTACAGAGCAGCCTGTTTCTTTAGCTCTATCAGAACATCTCTGGTCCAACACACAAGGACCACAATTAAACTGTGGGAACCACCTGCCTTAATCCCCACATCCTGTAATTAAACCTGATCATATACTGCCACTGCTATGGGAATTCACTTGCAGCTATTAGATTCCTGGAATCATTTCTGTTTCTCTGGTGCTCCCTGAAGCTGGCAGCGGCCCAGACACCATAGCCATGTTTTAACATTCCTCAAATTAAATTAACCTAAGGACACACTTTTAGAGCTAGGAGTCTGTGAGCCTCCCTGGATGTAACACAGTTATGTGTTCAGCGGCATCTGATAGAGAGCTTTGCAGCTGAAATTACCAGCCGAGGACTCTTGTCTGACTGTCCCCAGGCCTCAATAATACTTTCTGAAGGATTTGCTCATGTCAGGAATATAGATATTTTCCCCAGTCTCAGCTCATGTACCTTTGCATTACCTGTTTTCATTCTATTTATCTGCAAAAGATATCCAGTTCTTTCCTGATAACCCACCATGCACAACAGTCACTGTCCTTTTAATGAAGTGATACAGATTGTACAAACACAGCCTTCATTTTTATGCAGAGACAAAAAAAAATATGATTATAGCTTGATGCAGGTTAGATTTTAGAGGCACAAATGGAATGACAAAACCCTAAAATCTTTAATCTGGAAGACGGTGGTGTTCCCAGCCCTTAGCACACAGCCAGCGCTGGAGGAGACAGGGGAGGATGATGTGCTGATGGGATGGGAAATGCTAAGGCCCTAACAGAGTCTGGCTGATTGTATTACTGACCCTGGCGCTTCTCATGGCTAGTTACTGGTTTAAAAGTTAGTTTTAAAGAATTAATACATCTGCCAACAGATAATGGAGTTATTTGTGACATATGGGGACATCACGCTTATCACAATGGGTGCAGCACATTGAGAGCAATTACAGCTTGTCTGGGTCAGAGAGCTCAGACCAGGGATAACACCCACCCCCTCCTCCTACTTTTGGTGTGAATCCCTCTGCTTTCAGGAGTCCCAGCGTAGCTCCTAGCGAGGCAGAGGCAGGCTGCCCAACAGCCCCTTCTTCGTTAACACTGCTGCTCTCATACTGAGCCAGAAAGGAGGCACACAGCCTGCCCCACATAAAGGAGAAGAAAACTGGTGCCCAAAACAGCCTCCAAGGGCTGGAGGAATTACAAGTGAGTGATTTCTGAGGTCTGTGAAGCACTGGCAGGGTTTCCTCTTGAAACAAGCTCAAAAGAAAATGGAGCTGCATCCTAAAAATGGCAGGATATTATTCTGAAGTAGTGGCACGGTATTTCTTTAACACATCACTGCTCTATTAAGCAAGTGACTCTTCAGAGATTGCTGCCACTGTCCTTCTACCACACACCATACAAGACTCACAGCCTTTAAAGCATTCCGAGCCCGAACAGCCCATCCATGTGTGTACACACACCCGCCAAAGTGGGTCACCTCCCCTTGCAGTGAATACACTGCTTCCACCTATAACTTCCACACAAATCGTTGAGCAACAGCTTAAGAGCAAAGCAATGGAGTGAATCTACGTCAGGAAATCACTGCTGTGGTATAAACAAGGTCTGACAATGCAAAATTAGCATCAGCTTGTGGTCCTGAGGTTCCAGCTGGCAGGAATTCAGAGCATGCAAACCCAAGCACATTGCACCACCCTCCAGCACTGGAGGCGCTGCCAAGCCTGCGTTAGCGCTGAGCCCACGTGTTTGCAGGTGCAGGTACCCACCAAAACCACTACACTCGCCCAGGTCTGTGTCTGAGCTACTATCAAAGAGCACATCGGGGTGTTCTCTGTGCACACAGAATGGCTGCTGGCGATGACACAAATCCTGCTGCAACCTGGGCACACGGCCTCCAACCCGGACTGACCGTGTTCCACCAGCCCTGCTGTGTGGCCAGTGGAGGCAGCCCTCGGGCAGCCAGCAGAATCCTCTTGCCACATCAGTTTTTGGGGCTAGAGAAAGAGGAAAAACCCAAACTCTAATCAAGCAGGTAAGCTGACACAGTGTCCTGAGCTTCCCTCACTTGGTCTAGCACAGCTGGGTACCAGTATACAAGTAACAGAGGACATAAAAGCAAAGAACTGGTTCAAAGTCCTTCAGATGTAAGGACAAGGAAATCTAAGCAATGTTTAAGATAAATATCTAGTGATGCTGAGAAGATAGACCAGGAATACTGTTAAGTAGAGCCCAGCCATGGACCTTGGCCAGCCTGACCCAGCAGGAGGGAAGAGGGGAGCCTATTTGGAGCCAGCTTAGCTTGTCCAGTGCAGTCACACACACATTGCTCAGTGCATGAGGCTAAAGAGCAGCAAATTAAGTTCTGAAACAGCAAATTGGGAGATTGAACTGCCTTCCTAATTAACTGGTAAAGAAACTGATTTGGGGAGTTCTCTTTATTGCAAGCTAGAGAACCATAACGTGCCATTAAACAAAACCCAGGACTCCATTAATCTCCGTCGATCCGTGCTGGGATTCAGCCACAGTAACACCCAGAGACGTCAGTAAGTGCCGAAAGTCTCCGCAGTTGTCTGAGCTGTGGGCAGGAGCAGCCTTGTTCCATGGGCATGAGCTCATTCCTCACTGAGAGCACACTTATGAAAAAAAAAGTCGTTTTTTTTCTAACAGTACTGCTGCGTGTCAAGTCTTGCTCCGTTGTTTAGAGACGTTCCTGAGTAGGGAATGGGAGAATTCCCTACATCAACAAAATGGACAACACATACCAGACTCTACTGTCTCTTTCTGCAGCTCAGAAAAGCAAACAGGTTCTTACAAATGGAAGCAAGCACAGCCCTGAGCTCAGGAAGCAGTTCCATTACACAGCACAACATCCTGCTGTCAATGAGAACAAGACCTTCCCCACAACCTGGAGGAGCTGCCCCCTGTGAGAGGGAGCAGCTGGAGCGGATGGAGCTCTGCCTGGGGATGGGTGAGGAGGCAACTCGGAGTTTATGGGTGAGAATTCAAGAGAGGACAGGTAAAGGTGACACTATGGTGGGTGTCTGCTACAGGTTGCCAGACCAGGAAGAACAAGTGGATCAGGCCATCTCTAAAAAGATAGGAGCAGCCTCATGTTCGCAGGCCCTGGTCCTCATGGGCTTCACGCACCCCCATATCTGCTGGAGGGACAAGATGCAAGCAATCCAGGAGGGTCCTGGAGTGCACTGAGGGTAACTTCCTCCTGCAAGTGACAGAGCAGCCAACAAAGACAGGTGCTCTGCTGGACCTCATACCCACAAAAAATGAGGCAGCCCCACATTGGGAAGGGGAAGGTCAAAAGCAACCTCGGTGGAGTTCAGGATCCTGAGGGCAGGGAGGAGTTCAGGAGAGCAGACTTTGGCCTCTTCAAAGATTTGGCTGGAAGAGTCCTGTGAGATAAGGCCCTGAAGGGAAGAGGGTCCCAAGAAAGCTGCTTAATATTCAAGGATCACTCCGTCCAGGCTCAACAGTGGTTCATCCTGGCTGTGCCACCATCCAGCGTGACCTGGACAGGATGGATGCAAGGATAGCTAATCTGGAAGGAATTAAGAGACATTGTCTGTGCATGCAGGAACGAAATCAGGAAAGTGAAAGCCCAAAGGGAATTGAATCTGGCCAGGGATGTCAAGGACAAGAAGAAGGGCTTCTGTAAGTACATAGGTGACAAAAGGAAGACTAAGAAAAATGTGGCCATGTTGCTCAATGAGAAGGGGCACCTGGTTACGTAGACCATGGAAAAGGCTGAAGTACCAAATGCCTTCTTTGCTTCAGTCTTTACTAGCAAGACCAGTCTTCAGTAATCCCAGGTCCCAGGGACATCATGCAGAGCAAGGAAGACACACCCTTAGTGGAAGAGGATCAGGTCAGGGATCCTGGACAAAGCAAAACTGGACACACCTAAGTCCATGGGCCCTGATGGGATGCACCCATGAGTGCTGAGGGAGCTGGCAGATGTCATTCTGAGGCCACTCTTGATAAACTTTAATCAATCATGGCGACTGGGAGAAGTGCCTGAAGACTTTCCTGAAAAGGAAAACAAATGCCACTCAAGAAGGGCAAGAAGAAGGACTCAGAGAATGGCAGAATGGTCAGCGTCTTCTTGATCCCTGAGAAGGTGATCAAGAAGGTGAGAAGTTTGCAGATAATCCTGCAAACTATTTCCAGGCACATGAATGATAAGAAAATCATCAGGAGCAGTCTGCATGGCTTTACCAAGGGCAAGTTACACTTGATCAACCAGATAGAAGTCTATGATGCAATAACCAGCCTGGCAGGTGAGGGGAGAGCAGCGGTACCTGGACTTCAGTAAGGTCTTTGACACTGTCTCCCATAAGATCCTCACAGGGAAGCTGCTGATGTATGCACTGGATGGGTAAGAAGTGAGGTGGACTGAAAACTGGCTGAATGGCGACAGGCCCAGAGGGTGGTGATCAGTGGCACAAAGTCTAGTTGGAGGCCAGTAACTAGCGGTGTACCCCAGGGATCAATATGGGTCCCAGTCATGTTTATCATCTTCATTAATGATCTGGATGATGGGGCAGGGTGTACCCTCTACAAGTTTGCAGATGACACCAAACTAGGAGTGACTGATGCACCAGAGGGTCCTACTGCCACCCAGAGGGACCTTGTCAGGCTGGAGCAATAGGCTGACAGGAACCTCCTGCAGTTCAACAAGTGGAAGTGCCAACTCCTGCCCCTTGGGAGGAACAACTCCAAGCACCAGTATATGCTGGAAAGCAGGTTGGCAGAAGAGGGCCTGGGCGTCCTGGTGGATGCCAGCAAAGTGGCTCTGCTGCAAGGAAGGCTCATGGTGTCCTGGGCCATGTTAGGCAAAGCATTGCCAGTAGCTTGAGGGAGATGATCTTTCCCCTCTGCTCAGCACTGGTGAGGCCACACCTGGACTGCTGTGTCCAGGTCTAGGTGCTCCTCACTACAAGAAATGTGGGTATACAGCAGAAAGGCAACAAAGGGCAACGAAGATGACAAGGCCAGGTTGGATGGGGTTTGAGCAATTAGGTCTAGTGGGAGGTGTCCCTGCCCATAGCAGGGGGGTTGGAACAAGATGATTTTTAAGGTCGCTTCCAACCCAAACCATTATACCATTCTATGAAGTGACTGGAGCATCTCTCACGTGGGGCTGGGACTGCTTAGCCTACACGTGGTGTGTTGACCCTGCTGGATGCCATGTGCCCACCAAAGACGCTCCATCATCCTTCAGCTGCACAGGGGAGAGAAAACGTAACAAAAGGCTCATGGGTTGAGATAAAGACAGGGCGAGATCATTCACCAATTACCATCATGGGCAAAACAGACTCGACTCGGGGAAAATTAATTATTTATTGCCAATCAAATAAGAGTAGAATAATGAGAAAATAAAAACTAAACCTTTAAAACCTTTCCCTATTCTGCCCTCCCTCCCAGGCTCAACTTTACTCCCTAATTCTATACCTTCTCCCCAGCAGTGGCACAGGGGGACAGGGAATGGGGGTTGTATTCATCACACATTGTTTATGCTGCTCCTTCCTCCTCAGAAGGAGGACTCGTCACGCTCTTCCCCTGCTCCAGGGTGGGGTTCCTCCCACGGGAGACAGTCCTCCACAAACTTCTCCAACGTGAGCCCTTCCCATGGGCTACAGTTCTTCACAAACTTCACAAACGTGTGGGTGCCTTCCACAGGGTGCACTGCTTCAGGAACGGACTGCTCCAGTGTGGGGCCCCCGTGGGAACACCGGCCCTGCCAAGAAACCTGCTCCAGTGTGGGTTCCTCTCTCCATGGGCCACAGGTCCTGCCGGGAGCCTGCTCCAGTGTGGGTTTCCCATGGGGTCACAGCCTCCTTTGCAAACTTCACAAACGTGTGGGTGCCTTCCACAGGGTGCACTGCTTCAGGAACGGACTGCTCCAGTGTGGGGCCCCCGTGGGAACACCGGCCCTGCCAAGAAACCTGCTCCAGTGTGGGTTCCTCTCTCCATGGGCCACAGGTCCTGCCGGGAGCCTGCTCCAGTGTGGGTTTCCCATGGGGTCACAGCCTCCTTCGAGCATCCCTCTGTTCCAGCACAAGGTCCTCCATGGGCTGCAGGTGGATATCTGCTCCACCATGGACCTCCACGGGCTGCAGGGGGACAGCCTGCCTCACCACGGTCTTCACCACAGGCTGCAAGGGAATCTCTGCTCCGGTACCTGGAGCATGCTTTCCTCTCCTGGGGGTCTGCAGAGTTGTTCCTCTCACATACTCTTACTCTTCCCTTCTGCTGCAGTTGCACAGTTTTTTTCCCTTCTTAAATACGTTGGCACTACCGCTGTCGCTGATGGGCTCAGCCTTGGCCAGTGGCAGGTCCATCTTGGAGCCGGCTGGAATTGGCTCTGTTGACGTAGGGGAAACTTCTAGCAGCTTCTCACGGAAGCTCCTGTAGCTCCCCAGCTACCAAAACCTTCCACACAAACCCAATACACTTGAGAAGAGAAGACCTGGGGGGAACCTTATCAACATATTTAAACGCCTGAAGAAGGGTGCAAAGGAGATGGAGCCAGGGTCTTCTCAGTGCTGCCCAACAACAGGACAAGAGGCAATGGACACAAACTGGACGTTCCCTATGAACATGAGAAAACACTTTTTACACTGTGCAGGTGACCGAGCACTGGCACAGGCTGTCAGAAAGGCTGTGGAGTCTCAACTCATGGAGATATTCAAAAGCCATCTGGGACATGGTCCTGGGCAACCAGCTCCAGGTGGCCCTGGCTGAGCAGGGAAGGTGGACCAGATGACCTCCAGAGGTGTCCTCCAACCTCAACTATTCGATGATTTTGTGAATGTAACTCTCTCTGCTTCACACGGGAAACGCACTTTCTGCAGCAGTCAATTATGTAACTACAACAACCTACTCACTACAGTAGAAGCTGATGATTAGGGACAGTGCTTACAAGAGTCTTATGTTGCTCCTGGGCATTGTGGGATTGTAACTGGCAGCCTGAGGGAAATCAATTATTGGAAGTGATGGTCAGAAACACATCTACATCTCTGAATTTCAGCACATCTGGCTTATTGGGATAGGTCCTTTTTGGAAAGAAACAGAAGGTAAAATTGCCAGATGACTGAAAAAACTGTGTGAACTACAAAAGTAACCAGTGCAACACATGGATACCAAGCTGCAGAGAAATAATGAGCATCTGAATTTGCAGGGATGCGCCGCAAGGTATTCTCCTAGGGAAACAGATCTGTTCTAACTGCAGATGGTTACCACTGCCATTAAAGGATGAAGCTGTGAACAAGTGTCCTCTCTGTGCTCTGTGAAAGCCCAAAGGTGTCTCTTTTCCTGCCCCCACCAGCTCACGCACACTGGAAGGCTCCCAAGACTGGTGACAGAGTGCAGAAGGGAATCACAGCAGCCAAGAATACGACAACTCTACAACCAAGGAGCAGGGCTCTTGCACCACTGTGTGAGATATTTGTATAGTTTAACACCTATTTGCTTCCAATGACCGAGGTCCTGGAGAAGAGAAGCCTCTGTTAAACATCCAGCCTCCTACCCACGGCAAGAACTGCAGCTAAAGAGTGCGAAGGGCACCCCAGGACCCTGGCCAGTCTTGGCTCTCCTGACATTCCCTTGTTAAACACAGAAAAAGATACCAGCTCAGCCACAGCCACAAGCAAGACACTCTCTAGACCAGCTTGCTTCTAGCAATCACCACTTTTTAACTTTTTTTTTAATAAAGCATCCATGTGTTCTGCCATCTTAAGGGATGGTGATTCAGGCTGACTTGCATTAGACAGGCATTAAGCCTCACACACAGCATTGATTTCAAGTGGTTGTGGTTGAACTGGAGAACACTGAATCACAACAAAGATGTCAGAGGGATGCAGAACCTGGGAGAACAGTCATCTCTTAAGGGACAATCTGCTTTGAGCCAGCTTGCGGCACATCCTCTTGCCTGAGCAGCTCAGTACACACAATCCCTTTTCCCTTTTTTTGGTTAAAAAACATCAAAGCCAGGAAAAGAAAAAAAAAAGAATAAAAAATAAATCAGCCTACAGCATCAGCACAGCTCTCTGCCATTTGGAGGACAGAATCAGAGAATCACAGGACAGTTTGAGTTGGAAGGGACTTTAAAGGCCATCTCGTCCAAGCTTCTGCCACGAGCAGGGACATCTTCAACTAGATCAGGTTGTTCAGAGCCCTGTCCAACCTGGCCTGGAATGTTTCCAGGGATGGGGCATCTGCCACCTCTCTGGGTAACCTGGGCCAGGGTTTTCACCCTCACAGTGAAAAATCTGTTCCCTATATCTAGTCTAAATCATCCCTCTTTTAATTTAAAACCATTACTCCTTGTCAACAAGCCCTGCTGAAAAGTTTGTCCCCATCTTTCTTATAAGCCCCCATTATGTACTGAAAGGCTACAATAAGGTCTCCGTCCCTCTATCCCCATCCTGTGTTGATACCAGGGGTTGCCCCGATCCCGGTGCAGTAGTAGCGTTCTCTAGTGTTCTCTGGCTGACTCTTCCACAGCCAGAGAGGCTTAGAGGACCTAGTTGCTCTGCCATCACTTTTGGAACAGTTGCAACAGGTCAGCCAGGCCTGAGTCATCACTCAGGCACATCCAGAGATGTCCCTGCCCCACCCTCCCTCCATCCTCCTGTCCCTACCTTTCACTATCGACACGGTGTTTAATCTGCTGTTTCCCTTTGTCCTTCTGTGGGGCTGGGTCTTCTAGAAAGCTGTGGTCCAGGCTGTCATCAGGAATGAAGTCCTCCACGCTCTGTACTTTTGCAGGGGCTTCAGGGTGGGAAGGCGGAGCGGCAGCAGCAGGATCTGCATTAACAGCAATAGTTGTAAAACACAGGGTTCACCACAAGCAAGACAGAAATTTGCTTTTTACAGATTGATCCTGTCCAGGGTGGCAGCAGCCACCAAGCAGGACCTTGGCTGCAGCAAGGGAAGAGGAAGGGTATGCCCAGGATACTCAAACCCACCCAGAATCCTGCAGGAAGGCGTTCACACACCAGGCTGACCCGGCCCCCAGACAGGCTGGGGACTCTCTGGTGTGCAGCTGACTGCTCCGCAGTGACACTGCGACTGACGGCACCACAGGCGGACGTTACACCCATGCTGTGTGCACCCTCCTGGGAGATGTCCCTTCATTGTTTGCTTCTCTCTTCCCAACTGTTCAGCTCACACCTCTTGCCTTTTCAACTCTAACTGTCAAAGGCTGGATTTTTCACACTGTGCTTTTAGATGCCCCGTGTAACCAAAAGCTTATGAGCTACTGCAAATAGAGACTTGCTTTAATACAGCCTATTGTAGAGACACCATTAGCCATCCTCAAGGTACCAGGATGAAATCTCATGAAATTAGCATAACCAAGAAGCCTAACACAATTAACCTTTTCAGAATTTGCAATATTCAATCTTTTTCTTCTGCCTGGACTGCACGTCACACCTAGGCTCTTTTCTTCTGGCTGAACAAGATCTGTATATATTTTTTCTAGATTTTGCTCTACTAGCACATCTTTCAGATCACTTTTGCATATAAATAACACTATTACTAATGCCATAGAGTAGCGTTGGTGTAAGAAAAAAAAGAGCCAAAAGAATTACTACTGCAAGACTTCGAGTGAAAGCTTAAATAGCAGCTCCCATAAAAAAACAAGTATTACTTTTTGACAGTGATTTTTCATCTGCTTTCCAGTTAGCTAGTCCCTAGGTATGTTCCAGCAGAGGTGCAGACCCATGGCACGCTACATAAACTTAATCACACTCATAGATCAGCTTTTTCTAGCCACTTTTCGCAGCCCTCTGCACTCTTGAGATACCAGGACTGCAGGGTACAAGCCTAAAACAGTTCTCAAGCTAAGTGATAGATTTAAGAAAAAAGAAGAAAAAAAAAAAACAACAAATCCCCAAGATTGTAACACTGGTAGTAGACCATGTCTTTTTTCTATGCACCTATAAGACTAAGGGTTTTTTACCGACAAAGGACTTCTAGCATTTGCTCCTCTTTTGTTTGTGGGTAGGAAGAGCCACCAACAAACTGAAATGGGTGTACTGTGTAATATCTAGCAACAGAATCAGGATGCAGAACACTGTGTGCAGATCTAAAACTGAAAGATTTCAACATCTGAAACTGCAAACCGTGTTCCCAGCACCTCCTCCTTTCTTTCTGTGGGTGTCTTGAGAGCCCTGTGAGCTCTAGGGATTGACAGTTTGAGAGGGAAGGTATTTCCAAAGGGTGATTCAAACCATGTCATGCTAATGATTTTCAGGCAGTGCCAGCTCTGCAGCCCCAGTCAGCTCCGCAAACAGAGTGAACGTGACAGGCAAATTAAGGTTCAGATCAGCAAAAGTGCATGCAACAAACCGCTTGATGTATTTGCCCTGCCCCTCTGTCTGGCAGGGATTTGGGCTGAGCACTGCTCTGCTCCATGTGTACCAGTGCAGAGGAAGAAGCCAAGGAAGGCTGCCCTCCACCATCTCTGAAGGAGCGTATTTCCCCTGAGGGGAATCCGCTGCAGAGCCTGGACCTACGTGATCATTTCTGGTTGAATAACCTTTAAAACCAGCACTCTACTGTTCTCCGGTAACACACAGTAGCCCCTTTGACCTGCCAGACTCTTGTGAAGACAGAGCTTCAAATGGCTCGTCTAACTATTTTTCTTGCTATTCAAGAGGCATACGTACTCCTGGTAAGAGGGTGACAGTTATTTCATTAATGTCCCCTGCATGTTCAGTACCTTCCTGCTGAAGCATGCTGCAGCCACCACCCAGCCGGCTGGGGACAGTCCCCATCCAAGCTCAGCACAGAGGCAAACCGAAACGCTGACCAGGAGAAAAACAGAGTGACAGCACAGCTCTTCCTGGGACACACACTGCACACACACAGGACCTGTCCGCTCAGCCTCTCGCAGGGAAAAAATGGAAGGAAAACATAGAAAGACCCGCAGGTGACAGCCAGCACCTACCTGGCTGGGGAGGAGAGGGCTCTGACGGGGCAGCTGTCCCGAAGAGACGGGAGATGATGCTGCGCTTGGGCGGGGGGGCTGCGGCCGGCGGCGCTGGGGGGGCTGCAGCTGGCGGGGGCGCGTGCGGCTGCTGGGCCTCAGGGGCAGGCACTGGTGAGAGGGATGCGGGGGGTTCGGGAGAGACGGCGCAGCTGGTGGAAAGCGGCTGCAGCGGCTGCGGGGTGCCGGGGCTGGAGCTGCCCGTCGACGTGGAGCTGGGAGGTACGACGGGTGACTGGGAGCCAGAGGAAGGGCTTTGCCCGTTAGTTGCTAGTGGCGACGTGTGTCCTCGACTTCGGGCTTCCATCATTTCAAGGAAGCTGCAGGGAAGATAAATTGCAAATGTAAGGAATGGAGAAAACGTGCTCAACAGAGCACTGAGCGTGATGCTGGGCTGCTTTAGCTACGAGGGAGGGCACAGAGCTGCTTTCGGTGATACTGCAGCTCCCTGGGCCACAATAAATCTGGTTCATCCACGTGAGCTAAACTCACCCGATCCACATCGAGGTGTGGAGAATCCCAACTTGCTGAGCACTGCGGGATGAAACCTGCATTTGCTGGGAACTCCCTGGATAGACAGACTATAACAATGTGCCAGGGCTTGAAACACAACCTCAACTCAGTTCTTGGATGTATGTCTCTAAGGGAGTAAGGGCTACAGGAATGGCACATTTTTAGATTCTGTAGAAGAGATCAGTGTTCAAGAAAACTCAAATGCTATAAAAACCTCTCCAAGAATGGAAACCAAGCCAAGAATGGACTTACAAGGAGAATCCTTGAGTGTCAAAAGAAAAGAGCTACCCAGAGGGCTCATTGGATGGACTGCAATTATTCCCCTCGCCCTGCACAGACACTGCCCCCCAACATACCCCTCCTCTGCACAGAAGGCAGCGGAGCCAAGCAGCAGAAGCTCTAGAGCGAGTTGTGGTCCTGGCTGGATTCCCAGCTAGAAATAAAGCCTGTACTGCTACAGAGGGTGAAATGCTCCAGTCTTTAGAAAAGGAAACCAAGTCTGATGCTGCTGCAGCCTCTCCTGCAGCCTGTTTGGTTATAGCAGTCTTTTCACAAGCTGCATGCACAGAAACACGCACAGAAAGCCAGGCTTTCACTAGGAAATGGTCTCAAAATAAGATCTGCTACATGCCACATGTCTGAGAGATATAAAGAGGACACCCACAGTGAAGTATCATGTACAAAATCTAGCACGTCTTGGTCTTGCCTCTTGTTTCATTAAGCCTAATGAACCCAGAGCACAGAGGCTCTGGGTTCAACTGCTTCTGCACAACAGACTCACTGTGCTCCAGGCAATGAGTGTGTCAGAACAGAGACTCCTCTCCCATCCAGAGCACGACCTCATCCTCCAGGGACTGGAGCCAGACAGACACCTTCACTGGAATGACTGCTAAGCATAAAGCAAACAGCAGGGGCTAAAAGACTCTAAACCCCTTGGATATACCATTTTCTATTTTAAGGAGCAACCCGATATCCCTTTAAGGAACAAACTAATATACTTTGCGACCAGCAATATCTGGAGCCCTAGAGAACGACATCCCCAGAAAGCTGTTACTTGAAAACCAGGAAACCAGGAGTCCTTCCTAACTAAGGAACAGGCTAAAGTGGAGATATATAGTTCTAAAAGCAGTATTAGCTAGGAGAGAAATCCTTATAGAGTTCCTCAAGGATTAGCCTTGAGATATATTTCAGCATCTCAATGAAGCGGCAGAGATTGGGGAAATGCTCATGGGGCTGCAAGTTGGAAGGCAGCATCAACAGAGAGGAGGACTGGGACAAGATACAGAAAGAACTGGATAATCCCGAGTAACAGAAACGGGGAGAAAATCCACAGTAGAAAGGAAATAGTCCACTGCTCAAGGGCTAGGAAACACGTGTTCTTGCTCCAAGTTCCCCAGATGTGAATGGCACTGGCTGGGAAAGACTCGCCTCATGCATTCCAGAAGACTGAACTAAAGGCTTCAACCATAATGCTGCCTGGCAGGAGCAGAACAGGAGCCTGGCTGTCACACAGCGTCCACTGCCGCTCCCCTGGGACTGCTGTCAGAGCACCTCAATTAGTGCTGCGCTGTGCTAGCCTCACTGATGCTTCCAGGGGGATCTGGGGCAAGGCTGATGTGCTGCCACCCAGCAGCCTGGCTACAGCAAAACAAGCTCCCAGCAACGTGGAGATCAGAGCGTGCAACAGAGCATCCATTCCAGCATCCTCCCTCCCAGGGGACCAGTAGCTGGGATGAGCTGTGCGATAACACATTCCACGGAGAACGATGCGGGATTTGTCATGCACCAAAGAGAAAACATAAAGGAGCTTAACTCCTGCCCTGAGCTCTGTGGAGGCTGCATCGGGTTTGCTTGGAAGGCGCACGATGCATCACACGCGCTGCAGAAATATCTCAGTGTATTTTGAAGGCATGGCTGTCGCTGTGCTGCAGGGCCGAGCAGCCACACATCACTGCTTTCTTGAGAAGGGGGTCACCGTCCGTGGCACTGAGCATCCCTCAAGGCAGACTACGCACGGCATCCGCGCTGAGGGAAAGATAAACCAAGGGTGCCTGCAATTCAGCCCTTGTCCAACAAAGTGAATGCTCTGAATCCACACAGCCATGTGAATTGCCATGGCCTGAAAAGCCGTCCACGAGACTTGCCCGCACAGGACGTGCGGCTCCGCAGCGCCACGCCAGCAGCACTGAGTGCTACATCCTGTCATCCCCCCGCTCCGAGCTTTGACTCAGGCTCCTGGCGAGCCGAAGGCTGCATAGCTCTGCTTTGTGGCACTCATCCCTCCTCCTCCCAAGCCCTGCTCAGGGTTAAAGACTCCTGCCTCCCAACTGTGCAGAGATTAATCCCAGCTGATCCACATGCACCCCCTGCCCTGCTCCTGTTTACAGCAACAGCGATCCTGGCTAGAAGGGCTGCAAGCTTGGTCACGGTCACATCCAGCATCCCAGGCACTGATGCCAGCACTGCTCGCTCTCCTGGCTCCTGAGCTCTCTGGCTCCTTATGTGAGCACCAAAATCACCAATGTGACAGGAAAACAAAACCCAAAACCTCCAAGTCTGTGATCAGGATGCTAGTCCTGCCATCAAGGCAACTGGGTGACTGAGGTAGGGTAAGACAATCGTACACTGAAGGCTAAGGAACAAGGATCTTGTGTGAGGTACACACAAAGTACACATCTAGTCATTTTAGGGTACAGAATATGAAGCTCAAAGAGTACTTAGAGCCGGACCCAAGAAAGCACAGGACACTCTTTACAATATCAGGATATTTGAAGATTTACCATACTTTGTATGACCAAAGCTGCCTGTTTTGGAAACAACCTGCTTTGTTCTGGGCAAGTAGCCAGCTCCAGAGGGAGGGAAGGCTGCGACTACCACCTGTTTCTCCTGCAGAAACACATGAATTTTAAGAGCTGGAGGGAAAAAATGCTACATAACTGAAGTATAAAGAGTGTCACCCTTCCCTCCAGCTCAGCCAGTCTGGAGAGTAACACACACGCAGGCGTCTCCTGCACCTGCTCCTGTGCCTCGCTCACCTACATTATGTGAAGGGCATAAGAACAAGTTATTTTTAGGAGAAAGACACAATGGATATTCGGGGACAGCATAACACAGGCTCTTACCCCAGCACAGCACCAAGGAGAGCTGTGGCATATGTGCTTCATGTCACCTTCCTCATGCCCAGCCAGACACATGGGCCAAGCTGTGTGCTGCGTGCCACGGCACTGGGGAAATAGGGATGGTCTGATACCGGTTTTACATGGGCTGCATAAACCAGCTCTGCTGAGCTTTCATATTCATATCTTCTTCCGTAGAAGAGGTGGGTGGAAGAACAGCATACACGAAAACGCTGCCAGCAAGCTCTCAATAATTTCCAGGGTGGAGGTGTCTCAGCATCCTCCACACTTCAAAAATACTACATAATGCATGAATGCTGTCTCTGGCTTTACACACGCTCTGCAGAGGCACAAGCGTAGCTGTTTCGGGAATGCACCAGGCCCAACCTGCCACACACGTCTGTTCTTTCTCATCTTCTATACAATCTGGCCACTGTGTTCCTTGTTCTCTCATGTTTCCAGTCCTTTGCAAAAGGACTCATTCAAAATCTTACTGTGGAAGAAACAGCCTCATGCCCACACAAGGTACAGCAGACCAGGTCCTACCAACGCAGAAGCTGAACTCCTGCTGAGACCTGAGTGTGCTTCTTCTGGCTGTTATCTAGAGACACCAAACTGCCACGCAAGCCCAGGTGGGCTAACTGCCCTCACCCACCTGGGCTCCTTGTTTGCCTTTCAATCCTTCCATTTCAGACCAAATCACAAGTCCTCATCCTCACCCGCCCAGAATAATTCAGTCAGTTGGACCCGCTTGCAAGAGGAGACTTTTAGGCAATTTTGAAGATGAACATGCTCTGAGGGAACAAAAATTCATCAGGGCCTGAGGTTCCTGTTGCTCTGCTCCTAGAGCAAGCAAAAGAAAGCATAAAAGGATCCGATAGCCTCACAGTTCCTAAAATTGTCAGTGCTCATGTTCATTTACTATTGAAGATGGGAGCAGCCTGAAGCTTTTTGGCTCCTGGTTCTAACATGCTGTGATCAATTTTTCAAATGTATTTCATGTGGCAAGAAATGCTTTGGGTTATTTTACTAATTGTGAAAATGAAGATTAATAGGCTGTGTGACATCAGTTTAACTGGGGTTATTAAGGGTTAGATTTCCATGTTTGTTTTGGGCTTGTTAAAGGTATTGAACCTGATTCCCCCTAAGCTTAGGTCCCTGAATGTGCATGTAGTTGCCAAGCTGGGTTAAATCCTGCTGCCCAGGCCTTGGACAGTACGGTCCCTCCCCAGAGCTCCTCAGGTTTCCACTTGGCACAAAATGGGTGCAGTTATCCCCCCTCCACAACATACTGGACATGCTCCATGTTCTCCACTTCTCCATCGAGATCGATGACAATAGGGTTAGCTGTAATTAATTCTTAATGCATTCCCACACAAAAAAAGTTGACCTCAAGTCCATCACTCTGGCTCCTGATCTGTCTGACAGCAACAGTGATTCACAGCAAGCGAAAACGATAAACGTGGGGCAGGGGAAAGAGAAAGTAAAAGTGTTTCTACTTTCCTAACTGGTAATTCAGCCTCTAGCTGTTGCAATTCTGGACCTGCACTTCAACAGAGCTGAAGATCTGGGAGAACAGCTTGGGAAGCAGGACCTCCTGCCATACACTGCTGGTGGCACTCATCACCACGGGATTCGCCAAATTATGAGCTCTGCTCAACACGGAAAAAACAAGCAAGCAAATAAGCCCCCAAACCCAATCTATGACTTCGTAGTGAATAAAGCTGTCTAATGCAGGGAACATTTCTCCCAGGAGAGTCCTCCTCAGGAGAGAGCAAGTACCTTTGCGCAGTTGCTGGTCCTTCATCTTCCCCACCTGGCCAGAAGCACCTGACTGGCCAGGGCAGGTGACAGTCATATGGCACCGCTGGGGAAGGGCCTCCATCACCATGCAAACCTGGGACAGGTCCTTCCGCTGCACGAGTTGTAGCTTGGATTGTACAGAGTCTCAGAAAATCTGAAGTTCAGCTGCTTTGAATATATTTTTATGAGGTCTGCCTAACAGTTTGCATAAGAGCCATTAAACACAAAGAGTAAACGATCTGAAAATTAATTTCTTATGAACAATTCCTGTGAAGAAGCTGGACTTTACATGGTTACAAATCAAACAACCACACAGTGGTTCACAGATCACAATTTGCTGAAGCTTCTCAAAACTGACTGTGAAAGAAGATGGGGTATCTCATAAAGCATAACTTAAGTATTCCTTCTCACTAACTATATTAATCCCTAGGGCAGGAAAAAAAGTAAGTTCAAAGAGAGCTTACTACTTAAGCCCTGAAATAAAATTTAGTCTTTTCATATTAAAAAAGAGAGTAATACTAGAAAAAATGCAACCAAATGTAAAAGCTCATGAAAACCATACGTTAAATCTGCTTCTTATAAATTTTTGCAAACATTTCCAGCAGCAGTGTATTCCTGAAAAAAAATAAAAATGCAGAAGGAGTTTTGACAATTTCCCAAAAAACTATTTCTCCATGTGCACCATTCAGTGAGGGATATAAATGTAAGTTTTCCTTGTGACAGAAGATAAGCTGGGTACAATTAAAGATTGAAAAATTGAGCAAATGAAGTAAAAATTCAAAACAGCAACTAAAAAGTCATTGCTGTTTGCTCAGTAAGAATTCAGGAACTCCAAAAGAGCTGAAATTTGTCAGCATTAAAAATGTAAAATCAGAGAAACCACGGGGAAAGCAGCTGGGCAGGAGGAGCGGCAGCAGAGGGAGGCGCTGGGTGCCCCGCAGAGCCCGGGCAGCGCTGGCACAGGGCAGAGGCACAGCGTTGTGTGCCACCTCCTGTCTTCTCGGGGAGCCTGTCCTCTGGGACCCAGCTGCAGCAGCAGCAAGAGATCTCATGCTCTTTCTGTTCTTGCTGATCCAAATTTAGCATTGTGCCAGTGCAGCTCCTAGACGAGCATGGGGGTGAATGAAATAACCAAGATGTCCCAGTGCTGTCACCTCACCTTGCTCCGCGGCCTGATTTTATGGCAGGAGAGCAGGAATCGCCTCGGAGGAGGTGCTGCAGCAGCCTGTGAACACCTCTCCTGCTGAGCAACTCATGCTGGCCGACAGCAGAACTCTGAGTGTCTAAATTGAAGCCATCAAGGCAAGGGCTTCACATCTGCCAGGGGCCACCAAGTCACACTGCACCAACTCAGACGCTGCATACACCACGGCGAGTGTCAGAGGACAATGCACCAAAATGCTCACTTTGACATCCACGGCAGCAGCATGTTAAATATGAAAATCCCAAAATGATGGGCACCTGACAAGGATGGATGGAAGGACCTTCCCAAACGCTAACAGAAAGCCCCACTGCAGAGCTGGCTCACAATTGCAAGCTCTAATTCCCACCACACACGGTCACCGTGTGTACAGATTCTCTGTTCACCAGCCTACACTATTTATTAAGAACTAGAACTTTACCCAAACCTGAGTTCCCTGCCATATGAGTGTGGTTCTTTCTTTAAATAGGGACTTTGGCTAAAGGAGTCAAGCCTGAAAAGCTCCTGCAGGGATAAAAAATGAATGTATGAAGAGTATACTTTTCAGCTCTGGGGTTGAAGTAAACCCTCTGCAGCTTATCTGCTTCAGAGAGGTGTTGCTGGAACAGACAGACTCTTTATTTCTACCTGAGGTGCAGAGAAAAGCCTAAAAAATCCTGAAACAGCACTTTATTTTAGTCACTATGGTCAAAGTACTCAGACATGACACAGCCTGATGCTTTTCTCTTGGGATCAGTGGCTCAAGCCAGGAAGCACCCAGGGATATTTTAAAGGCCTTTCCATAAAACAGTGTTATTTTCTGAAAACAAAGAGCATTGGTCTCAGTACATGAACGTGCAGCTGCTGAAGCAAAAGCAGAAGTTGGCCAGTTGCATAAAAATGTCAGCTCATTTACGAAAGCAGAATCCTAGGAATAAGTCTTGCTTTTAACATTTTAGCGACTCCTCTTCTGTCAGGCACCACGGCTAAGGCATTCCTTATGCCATGTTAAGCCAATCGTGCAATCAGCCCCCTGCAGTGCCAGCCCTCCCCAGCAGCCCTTCCCCACAGTGCAGAAGGGCAGCCACTGCCCGGCCAGAAGATGGGCATCTTCAGGTGCACCCCATCGCCTGCTCCCCCCGTGCTCACCACCTGCTTTGGAAAACAACAGCCCACTGATACAGGGGCCAAATGTTCATCTGTATCTGGAGTTCCTGCAGAGGACTTGGAGGCTGCTATTGAGGGGAACCTCGCAGCCCATCGACGGGCCCAAAAGGCAAGAACGTGCCTTCGGAGCTGTCAGAGCACAGCACCCAGAGCAAGGTGAGCAGGCTGGCCCTAGGATTCTGGCTGCCACCACACTGCAAACAACACTCTTTGGTAATCACAGTATTTCTGCAGGAGCATGTACCCAGAAAGGTCACTCTCTGGCAGAGGAAGCACACCAGTATTATAAAATGGTGTATGGTGGTGTGGTTACACTGGATGGGATGATCCAGTCTAATATCCATTGCTGGAACTAGGAGTTCTTGCCATCCCACCTCTGCCAGCACCATCCTGTTGCTGCTTGCTTTAAGTTCTGGTGGTGAGCAGATGCTTCTCAGATCTAGTCCAACTCACATCAACCCAGAAGTAGATATGGCAGAAGGTAGAGCTGAAGTGGCACATGCGAGGGGTCCAGCAACCGCTAAAGCTGGTGTAAGGGTGAGAGGTGACAAAGCAGCAAGATCTTCTGGTCTAAGTTTGGAACAGCTCTGCCAACTCCTGGTTCTCTTACGTATCTGCCCATTACTGATGGAGTATAAACAAAAGCACTGGAAAACAATCTGACAGCCCAGCCCTCTGAGCAGGGACATGAAGAGAAGTGCTACAGGCACAAGGAGACTAACCAGTCCCTAAGTGAAGGAATGAGGTGAATGCTCTTGGGAACAGCCCTGCTTTGTGTGTATGTGGGCTCTGCAAAGGAAAACACACAGACTAAGGTTATAAAGCTTGAAACTTGCTCTGAAAAATGCTTGTTAAAATGGCTGTGCATGAATATTTCATAATCATCGATTCCAACTTCCAAATAAAGCTGCCTGTAAATAATCTTTTTCCAATTCCATCCTGGGGTTGATTTTTCTGCCTTGCACATCACTGCAATAAAGACCTTGCAATGGGAATTTATGGAACACATTTGTCAACAACGCACAAATCTGAAGAGATTTCTGTTCTCTGTGCTACAGAGATTTTGTAGGGCTAAATCTGGCAAACGCTCATTGCAAGCAGCAAGCAGACAGGGCACCGAACAAACACAAGGCAGGAGGAACCGGCCACTATTTCAAACCAGAAATGCACTAGAAATATTCCAGGAGACAACAGCAGAAGACAACGGTGTTGTTGCTACTACTTTCTGCCTACCCCAAGGCACACACCACACAGGAATGCAATGGCCAGAAGGTGGTGAACCATCTTGTGTGCTGAACAGCAGAGATGGAAAATCTCCCCTTTCAGCACCAGAGGCTGCAGCACACTGATCTGCAACCCCGTCAGCGTGCGCTGTCTCCAGGCACTGTCCAGCTCCACCTCCGCCACCCTCCCCAAGGTCATGGGCCTGTAGGAACCAGACCCTTTCAGAGGGACCCCCAAGTTCATGCTTTATTTCAGCTGATGCCACTTAAAAATGACATTTTACAAGATCCAATGAAACCCTAAACATTACTCACGGGACCCTTCAGTCTGGCCCCATGCCATAGCTGGGGCTGCTCAACATTCATGTGACACAGACTGCAACAAAACAGTTAGAAAAGATGGCTCAATGACATACAGTTCGTAGTTTTGATCTTCTGTCTCTTGTTGCACTGACAGCTCCTCCAAAGTTGCATCAATATCCAGCTGATTCGTCTCCAGCTGCCGTAGCAACGTCTCCCTCTGAGGAAAGGAAAACAAGCTGGGTCTGAGCAGGAAGGGTCATTGTAAGGGATCTCTGTGCTCACAGGGTGCAGTGAGATCTTGTGTCACCACTCTGCCCACAGCAATCAATTAAACAGGAGCTTTGGGGCCTCTCACCATGTTCAGTTCAAACACAGAAGCAGAAAGGGAAGCTCAAACAGTAGCAAAAGTACGCTAATCCAGAAAGTCTGTGTGTAAGGAAGTAATTTGTTCTGCGAGCCGTGCTCAGGCATCAATCAATGAGGAGTGATTTCAGACCCAGCACCGGCAGCTGCGTCTGCAGAACTGTAAGCTCCTGTGGAGAACAGCAGTGCAGCCCATTTATCCCGAGCTTTTATTTACCTCTCTGAGAGTAGGACCCAGCTGATGCAAAACCTCACAATCATTTTCTTTTTACTGTGGGGGTAGATGAGTGAGCACAACCTCTCAGCTTGGTGAAACCCTAGAAATCACCATCCCCCTGCCTTCAGATGCTACTCCACAGGTGGGGGACAGACACTCCAGTCCAGTTCGAGTGTGCAATAAAGTGAGTTGGCTTCACTAATGTCACACGGGGCAGCTAAATTCAGTCCTTCCCTTTCCACGTTTCCAACAGAAACCAAGCAAAAACCTCAGCTGAGGGGAAGTGCTGGCTTAAAAGGCTCAAAAATCAATTACAAATCATCACGGGACACTCCTCTGGACGGCAAGGAGCAGCGATCAATAACCACAGCGTTGTGCTGCGACTGCGCGGCTGGCCCCATGGCCTCCCCCGGCACCAGCCCCCTCAGCCTCTGCCCAGCCACCCTGGCTGCACCACGGCCCCGAGCCACGGGGCTAACACAGCGTCCACCGCCGCAGGAACGGGCTTCAGGACCTCCTGGGCAAAACTCGAGCTGTCTGTGGCCACCGCCCCGCACCACCGCCCCGTCCCCCCGACACCACTGCCCCGTCCCCCCGACACCACCGCCCCGTCCCCCCGACTCGCCCGCAGCCGGGCTCCCCCCGCCAGCCTCCCGGGGAGGGCCCAGCTCGGGGCACAGCAGGCACCTCACACACCCAACTCTGGAGTCACAAGTCCTGCCATTCAGCGCCTACAGGCGTCAATCCTCCTCTCCCACCGCCTGCAGGCACAGCAGCACGGGGAGCAGGGGCAGGTCGTGGTGGGATGTGTCCGATGGCACGGGGTGCTGCCAGCAGGGCCACCACCCCCCAGGGGGTCCTGCAGCACCTCTGCCCCAAGAGAAACCCCAGGTTTCCTCTACGCCAAAAAGGTTTTTGCTTTTACCTCTGCCTCATGCTCAACGTGCATTCAGGTTTTCTACGACAATAACTATTTTTTGAAGTTTACATCAATAACTGCAATGAATTTTTAATTCCGTGTTTGAAAACACCCACACTCACTGCAAAAAAAAATCCCATTGGAGTAAAAAGCACAAAAGGCAACATGCTACATAATTTACAGACTAAAATCCTTATGGGAAGACAAACACGGAATGGATCCAGAGGAGGCCCCGGAGATGCTGGGAGGGCTGGAGCCCCTCTGCTGGGAGGGGGGGCTGAGAGAGTTGAGGGGTTCAGCCTGGAGAAGAGAAGGCTCTGGGGAGACCTTAGAGCAGCTTTCCAGTATCTGAAAGGGGCCTACAAGAAAACTGGGGAGGGACTTTTTACAAGGGCATGTAATGATGAGAGATAAGGGCTTCAAACTGAAAGAGGGGAGATTGAGATGAGACCTCAGGAAGAACTTCTTTGCTGTGAGGGTGGTGAGAGCCTGGCCCAGGTTGGCCAGAGAAGCTGTGGCTGCCCCATCCCTGGAGGGGTTCAAGGCCAGGCTGGATGGGGCTTGGAGCAACCTGGTGTGGTGGGAGGTGTCCCTGCCCAGGGCAGGGGGTGGGATTGGATTGTCTTTAAGGTCCCTTCCAACCCAAACCATTCTGTGATTCGGATAAAGCGAAGGCATTCAGTACCCATGTGCATGCACTATTGACAACACAGTTTCACAGAGACCACAACTCTGGAGCTATCAAGGAAGCGCACAAATTTAAAGAGCAAGTATCTCATCTGCCTTTCATAAAACACATCACACTCTTCTGCCCAGGGGAGCAGTCGGGGCACAGACTGAGCCCTCCACAAAGCAGGTTGATTTATATCAAATTCTACCATGACTTAAATCAGCAAATAAGGTTTAAGTAATTTTGATTTTGTGTATTTATAAGACCAGGTGATTCATAGTAGCTGATAACCTTTACCATGCTAATTTACTGGAAGATACATTCTTGAAATTTAAGGGCTTCTATGATCATTTCAGCTAATTTACTGCTACCAAGGCATTTAGATTCTTCATTTTTACCTTTGTCATTGTGTTAAGAGCTTGGACTGATCCATATTTCTTTGCTAGGTAATTTTTATTCATCATATTCATTAGCTCTAAGCAGATGGAAACTCAACTTCAATTAACATGTATATAAAGAATTATGAAGTCATTAGTTAACTCTAATTGCCTTTAGTGTGGTATACAGACAACAAAATTTCCGTAAAACATGCTATACATATTTAGCCTTGCTACACTAAACAGAAGAAGTACTAATCACGATTTTAGAAGTAATTCTAGCTTTTAGAATTCAAATTCTAGATTTTAGAATTCAAGATTCAAGAAACTCAAAATTTTTGAAGATATTTCATCCTTCTATGTTATTCATACAGTGGAAGCAAAAATGAGACAAGAGAACAATTTTTCTGCTTCCTTGTCCTCAGTTTCCTAAGACGAATGAAATAAATGCTGAGCAAATTAGCTGAATAAACAGAGACAGAAGGGCCACTGCTCTCCAATGCTCACCTTAGGCGCTTAGATAATGGCTTTTATTAAACAAATGCTTTGCTGTTTCTCATACTTTGGCAGCAAGACACATACCAGAGTTGTATTTATTTCAGTTTTCACAGATTAGAGTAAATTAAGAACTTGGATTTAATTACAAGAGAGTTGCATTTAATTTTGTAAAAATTCATCACTAATAATGGACTTCCAAATACTTAAAAAATAAATTCTATTTTACCATGCTGGTATTAAAATATTAAAGAAACAGCTTATTTTTAGCAATGACCCAAAAGAAAGGAATAAATCACGTGCTACAGCCCGATGCTTTGGCTGACTGCCACTTCCAAGGGCTTCCTGGGCACAGGCAGTTCCAGCTGTCTGCGGAGCTGCGTCTCCTTCCAGCACAGCAGCCGAAGATCCGGGCTCACCTGGCCCCATTTGCACATTTTGTGGGCCACCAGCTCAGCAAGAGAGCGCCCTCGGGTCTGACCATCCTTCCCCTGGAAAGGAACTGATAAATAATGGAAGAGCCCGGGCTGCTGAAAGGAACCTGCTCTAAACTGGGGGTATGGATTTCAGCCACCACATTCTTTATGAAAAATGCATGAATGGAAGCTGAACAGGGAAATGTGCAACTTAAAACCACCGCTCCCGACAGCAGCTCCAGGAAAGGGCAGTGTGGAACCTCATGTAGGGCTGAACGGCTCCCTTCCCCGTGGGAGCTGCGGGAGGCTGGGCTGAGGGACACCGAGAAACCCCAGAGACCGACTGAGACCGATTAAATGATACGTGTGTTTAATACCTGGTGACATTCTTCTTCTTCAACCCTGCTTTGCATCAAAGTGCCAGGGAAATTACTCCTTTCTGGAGCCTGTTACTGACAACTCTCTCTGAAGGTATAAAGCAGAATCTTTAGAAATTAAGTCTGGCTGTGATTTTCCTACAAATGTTACCATCATGCTGCAGGTGGTGAACCAGGCCCAGTGGGGTCCACCTCGGGCTCCCCATGTCCCCAAAGGCTCCTCATGACCCTCTGGGAGCAGAGAATGCCCAGAGCCACCAGCAGCAGCCCCTGCAGAGCAGCACCGAGCTTTTCTAATAAACCTGTGGCATAAATGCAAGTGGCATTGGAAAAACTAGAGTGCAGCACATCTCAGCTGAAGTCTGACACCAAGTAAAGCCCCAAAGCCTGGGTGAAAGCACCCAAAAGCCTCCACATTTGCAGTGTCACCTGCCTCAGCACAGATTGGCAAGGCCAGGGATCTCCTGCACACAAGTAAGAAATGCAAGAAGCCTTCTCCACATAGGGTCCTATGCTGTGATTTCTATCAGAAAGCACAGAGAAGCACCTGCCTGCAATCCCTGCATGAGCACTGAACTACAGGAATAGTTTTGGCCTTGCTTTTTTGAAGGAAAAGCCAGGCAGCTACAGTCTGAGCACCTTCTCCTTGAATGACAGGCACAGGACAACCTCCTCCACTGCCACCTTCTGCATCGAGGTACATAGAACAGAGCAAACATTATTTACAAGCACAGTTCACATGTGCCCTTCCAAATCCTCCCCTGCGCATTTGGGGAACTACACTGCAATGAGAAGTCTTTTTAGGTTTGTTTCTGCAGTTTTGAATTATTGATTTACTTTACATGGAAAACACAGGACTTGGGACTCTGAGCACCTGTGCCTTTTGGACTGCTCTCAGCAGCACCCTGAGTCCACTGAGCAGGAGAACAAATGTGGGCTGATCACCCCATTTCCATCACCTCTCCCAAGCAATTGTCCCAAATATTGGAATTCCAAACAACTAAAGGTTATTATCAGATTTTTTTCTACTTCCCTGAAAACCAAGATTTGTCCAACAAGTTCTCTGGCTTTGAGGATAATTACCTTATCTGTATGTCCTAATTGCCTTCAGTCTCAGATTAACAGATCACGTTTACTATACACAGCACATTCATACGAAAGGTGCCCTAAGACTCACATCCTAAAGCTGCTTCCAAGCAAACCTGATACTACAAATGCTTCAGTATTTCCTGCTTTATAACTGTGGCCAGGGAAGTTACTGTAAATACTGATTATCAACAGTATCATTACTAGCAGCTTCCAGAAACAATGTGGCAGGAAGGCTGTACTGATGTCCTTGCCTCTTATCAACATCTATTTGAGAAAAAAAGGAGAGATCTACAAAACTGACAAAAGTAACCTGGGAACTAATTATTCCGCATGATTTCCACAAGACATCACTGTACCACAGAGATGAGGTTATAAAACCAAACATCTAACGAACACTATATTGGTAGAGTTCAATCTTCTCCACTGAGCAGCAAGTTGGGTTTATATTTCAGATTCCTACAATTTCCTCCTCAATATTGTTTGACTTGTTTTACTAGGTTTTTATATATTCAATTTTCTTATCCTGGTCCCATCTGCTCTGTAGCCTGAGGACATGGAAACATCCTAATATATCCAAGCTTCTTCTGAACTAGCATTTCAGTGGGGATTATTTGTATAAAAATACACACAGACATTTCAGCTACTGGTGAAAGATAATCAAGATCAACCACCTGGTTTTTTCCATCCAAAAGAGAACAATGATACAACATCATATGTACCCCCAAAAAGTGTATGATGTTGATCCCAAAGGACCCCTGTATGATGACCCCAAAAGGTCCTCTTCTAAAGGACCACAGCTGAGAATTCCACCCTTCCAGCCTTTTCTTGTCCTCTCAGTCCACTCAAGAAACCTCAGTTATGAAGGAAATAGGAGACTTGGATCTATGGGCAGAGGATCCAAGTAGATCAGTTAGCAGTAGGGCAAAGACAGTTGTCCTGGACTGTTTGTTTCATGACCAAATCTTTTCTCGTCTGAGTTTTAACTGAACAAAATTTAAACACAAAGTTTAACAAATGCGCGTATGTAACATCTTTGTCTTGGTAACTACACCACGGGATGCAATTTTCTTGCCAGGGTTATTTGTCACCTGGGATCCTCTCTCCAGAGGTAAGCATTTGCACACAGGGAAGAGTCCTCTTGCAAGCAGAGACATGTTTAAGTCACAGCCATCAATGTACTAACATAATTTTGTTAACAACTTACAAAACCAAAAATCTACTCAGGATCCTTTAACAACAAAAGAACCCCCAAATACCAAATTCCTGCCTTAGAGACAGTGAAATCTGTCCCACCCAGCACATCACGGAAATGCTCTCCCTCTTACCTGCAGCTGCAAGAAGGGGATGTTGAAGAACTTGTGCAGGTACTTGAGGCCAAAGCTGTTCTTCATGGAAGACTCAGCATAGCGAAAATATGAGGAGCCGGGAGGCCTGTCTCAACCAGAGAGAAAGAGAGAGAAGAAAATTGGGCAAAGGCCAGGGACTGCACAGACACAGGAGCAGCACTTGCTGAACTACACACCCGAGCAGCCCTCATTTACAAGCCAACCCTCAACCCCCAAATGTGGGCCAGCAGGTCACTCTCCGAGGGACTTGTTATTTTGTTTACAGACCAAATTCACACTTTGTTCCAGAAAAACACTACACTTTGTTGCAGAACCCAGCTGTCGTGTTGCAGCATCATGGGGCTGCCAGACTAAGAAATCCTATGTCAGGACATGGGGCCATGGGTTCACTAAACCGGGGGTTTCACAGCTGCATAAACCATTCAGTTCTCAGTGAAGGTTTTGTTTTAAAAGCACAGACAGACCTACATTAAATCACAAGCATCAGCAGTTGGCATGAAAGTCAGTTAAGTCACATTCAGAGATGAACTTGTAAAGAAATGATTACACTACAGAATGAGGCCTTAAAACTGATGCCATCTCTGTGTGCCTGACACAGGTACAAACAAGTAAGAGGCTAGGAAAATGAAAAAATGCCTTAAAACCACACAAAAAGGTACCATCTATTGAATCCTGAACAACAAATAACATTTTATATTAAATAACAAGAGTGCCTCAAATCTCTGCATAAGGGAAAATCTTGCCTAGCTGGCCAGGGAGGCACGAAGCTTGGCTGGGCCCTGTAGGAATGCTCTCGGAGGAAGAGCACGGAAGGTGGCTGCACTACCTACTTCTCTTCTAGCAGAATTATTTGGAGAACATTGTGCTGGAGGAAGAGGATTCTGTCACAATAGAAAGACTATGCAGAAAAAGGACAACTTCTTGGGAAAAGCGCTTCTGAAAGGCAGATGCTGACAGGCACTCGCTGTTTCCAGGAATATCGCGAACAGCCTGCCCGGTACAGGCTCCTTGTGCAAAATGAAGCCCCTGTATGAGACACTCAGAGCTCTGAAGTCCCAAAGGCTGGGCACAGGGTCAGAGGATGAACGTGACGCGCATCTCAAACACGGCAGCAATATGGTTACCTATGGCTGATGAAAGAGAAGTCGAGGTCTGCTCCCCTCCTGGTGGCTGTGGTGCCGCCCTACCTGTTCAGATTGTCGATGAGGTCCCGCACGTCGCCAGGCAGGATGACCCGGTGCTCCCCCATGTCTCGGTAATTCCCAAGCACACACACTGGAACGTGAGTCGGCACTTTGGGAAGCTCCCTCAGGATATAGTTGAATGTCCTTCACCATAGTAGAGAGAGATAAAGGCAGGGAAACATCATTCTGTGAGCAGTTTCATGCACAAATTACAGGGGGAAAAAACGAAACAAGAATTTTTTTTCCAAAATCCTTCCAAGACTGTGGCTTCTTTGCCCCCCACAGGGAAATACATTAACTGTAAATATGTTTGCATCATTCCTTATTAAAAAAAATTTGTCAAGTTCAATAATCCACTTCCACCAGCAACCTCACGTCTCCTACAGCAGTATTTCTCTCAGTTCTACAAAACCCACAGGGGTGAGCAGAAGAGAAGGATTCTCTCCCTCCAGCTGTCACAGACTCACTGACCCACACCAAACCCATAAAATACCGGCTGAAATACGAAGCAGGAACTCTTACCACCTCCTCTTCCCACTTTGGCTTCCATACGTCTCTCACCCTCCTCAGCAGATGTGCAAAGTGAACAGTTCATTATTTCTTTACACTACTGCAGCCCAGGGCCTCTGAATAATCCTTACTAATACTAATCTTCCTGGGAATTTCTAAAGAGCATTCCCCTTTCCCTTGTGCTCTGGAGAGCAGGGCTTTGTAACATGCCCAGCGTACTCTGCATCAGTGACAGCACTAATTACCAAGCCTCAGACAGCCCTGTATCAGAAACTGCAGCACACAAGGCCCCAGGGACACTGCTTGTTTGAAACAAGCCCAGGAGAGGAGTGCATTAGAAGACATGTCAGAAGATAAAGCTATTATTTTAAGGGATACAAGCTTGGTTCAACTCATTAGGCTGGTTATCAGCTCCAGCGTCCATCTGGGAATCAAGAGGCCTAGAAGTCATTTGTTTTCACCAAACCCACAAGAATGCCGTGGTGTGTGCTGCTGGAGATGTCTCACCACTGCTTGGTGATGTCGAACATCATCACTACGCCGTTGCAGTTTTTATAGACGTCCAGGAACTCTGCATCCAGAGCCATTTCTGACTCTGCCTGAGGAAATCAAGGCAAAAGACACAGTCAATAACTTGATTTGACTTCAGGCTTTTACAGAACATAGCCAATACAGTGCTGAACAGGTAAACCTCCTAATGCGACAGTCACTGTAAGAAGTATCTATGGATTTCACATTGTCATCATTTAAGCAAGACAGCTGGTGGTTCACAGCTTCCACTGCCCACAGGAGCAGGACCAGAAGCACCTGACCGTCTCTGAAAAAAACACGTCTGATAGCAAATGCTAAAACCCAGCCCACCCTCTTTTCCCTGTGCCCCCATATCCTGTGTTGACAAGATAACTCCATATGAGCTACAGGATGGAGGACAGAGGACACAGCTCCCATTCCATCTCTTTGTGACCAAAATAATGACTGTGCTTCTAATGCTTCTGGTGTATAAAGCCAGGGTATTGTTTCTACCGAGTTTGTCCTCTGCAGGGCCAAAAGTACTTATGAGTATTTTTCATCATTTGGACTCTGCACACTGTAAAGTCTAGAACTGGTACTGTACTCAGCCTCCAAGGCTACTGCTGAAATTTGGTGCCTATGGAATAACTCTCACTCATTTCCCAGGACGGAAAACGCACTGATGTTTGTGAAGGAAGAAGCAGCTGCAATAGCTGTTCTCACAGAGGATTTTTCACCACAGGAGAAAAATTTTAAAGAAAATTCCCCTAATCTGACCACACAGATTTGAGTAGGACACCCTGGGGAAAGACGCAACTCTTCCCAGCCCTGACTCACCCCCAGACCTCAGCTCTCTGCGCATCAGTGCTGCTGCCCTTCCCATCAACTTCAACAAAGCCGTTATTGTCCCAGGACACCGTCCATGTGCTCAGCCCCAAAGGGCACTGACACACAATCAGGAGTAATAAAGCTCTCTAAGAGCTGCAGCAGAGATCATGGGATTAAGGGCCTTTAAACTTTTTTTTCCTGAGGATAAAATCATATGTATTTTGAAAGAGGTGCCATGGAAGTGCACTTGGAAAGTGGCAGTGTGATCTCCCATAGGGCATTTGGATCTTCTGCTGTAGAACAAAAGGACACCCGTTTGTGCAAGAGCCTTGAGGAAGCCACTGTTTATTTTTACACACCAGGTAGTATTTCCACCTCCTCGCTGCACTTCAAAGGGTGTCAAAAGGCAACTGTCAGCCAGGCTTTAAGGAGCAGCCAGAGAGCATGGCACCAAGTGACCTCTTCGGGTCTCACAAGAAGTCCATTATGAAAGGACTTCCTGCCACCGAGGACGTGCAGACAGGTACAAAGCTACTGACCAAACATTTGGGGCACAGTCACTCCCAAAAGACAGAAGGGAAAACAGCAGGAAAGTTGTGATGAGGGCACGGACAAGGATCAAATACACAGGCAAAAGAGTGAAGAGCATCAGGGATCACACTACCCATCATCTACGGCCGGGCCAGTGGAAACAAATATAGAACTTACTCTGCATGGACCAAAGGTGGACCAGAGGCCTCCCGTTAAAGGTGACTCACCTCCTGAGGGTCATTTTCCAGTTTCAAACCGTCTCCTCGTTTTTTGCATTTTCCTTTAAAAGAATTGTGAAAAAAAAAAAAAAGAAAAAAGCATTACATGGGGCAGAGAACTCCAGGATGGATCTGGGCAGGACCACAGCATTTTGAATATGACCTTAAAGCAGATCCAACTTCTACTAGAAGCATGGGGAACAAGGAGGGGTGGGACAGGCATGCCTTGCTGAAAAATACCAGCTACCCTGTTGAAGAACACCAACTAGAATAACTCAAAGATGAACAGGAGGAAAGCCTGGGGCAGCTTAAACCACGCTCTTCACAGCATAAAGGCACAATAACTGAGTAACACATGGTTTGGTGCACACCCTGACCAGAAAGGGAAGCCTCTTTGTTGCACTTTCTGTTGCATTATTGTTAAGAAGCAGAAAATGGTGGGGCTGCTGTGACTGACAAGCGTGACTCCATACACAGCCTTCCTGAGATGCCATGGCATTGTTGCCCTGTGTCACCAACCTGAAGCCAGCAGTTCTGTCAATAGATGTCATCTCAGAGCCCAGCGGGTGCTTTGGGCTGACTTGTGACCAAAAAAAAGATGTGGCAGGAGCCTATGAGAATTTAACAGCCAAAAGACAGACAGAACTTATACAAGAGGAAATCTAAGCAAAAGCAAATAAACTATGGTGAGGGAGTGGTGGAGAAGTGGAGGAGAGAGAGCCTACGTGTGGGTGAGAGGCAGAGCCAGAGGGTCAGGTCTGGTCATCACCAGCAACGATGCAGAAAGGAAACCTCCAGAGGCACCATCCAAAGCCACATACTCCAGAGACACACACAGAAATAAGCTAGAGGACAGGTAAAACGCTGATGAAGCTCACACGGAAGTGCAAGAGGCATGAGCTAATCACCTGGAAAAGACACTAGAAACCGATTACAGAGACTTGCCCTGCGGTGCCATGGTCACTGTCCCATTGGGAGGGATCCACAGGTTTCTCTCCCAACCATCTGCTTCCACTAAGTCATATGCTGAAGTACAGCTGTTATGCACAAAGGGCAGGTTTCCTGAGACTTCTCCTTTTTCTTACAGCTTCAGTAAGTGCTCAATAAGTTCAGTGACTGACATTTTACAGCATTGCTGGCATTTCATTCAGCAGCCCTAGAAAAGGAGTTGGTGTTTTTGAACCTCAGGCTCCCTGAAAATTTTGCCTTACACCACTTACACTGCCATCCTGTCTCCAAATCTTAAAGCCTGCAACCACAGCAGCCAGTGAGGATGACACCATGCACCCATATCTCAGATTAGCAGGGGGCATCAGCTAACACGGTTTTCTGGCATAGACACTCAGCACTAAGAATTGCTGGGACATCTTTTGCCTTGTGCTGAAGAAGTTCAGTGTGGACATGCCATGAAAAATCTGTCCTTGCCCCCGGGTATAGAGTTTAAACTCTATGTACAGCAGTTTCCAGAGTTTTACCAAATGATGAGCCCTGCATAATGCATAACCCTGCAAGATCTGGAGTTATGTTTTATAGACATCAAGTATCTTCCAGATGTTACTGACAGCAATTAACAACTGCACTTCTGAATTAACTTTGTTCCTTATTTCCCTAATCTACATGACAAGTTAACTGAATTATAACAGCAGAGACTTGGAATTCCTTCTCATACTTTCTAGAAATTCCCTGTGTCACTGATAACAGATGTGTTGGCAGTTCAGATGCACCCACAAAAACCCCTCCCATTGACTCTTTCACAGACTGCAACATGGTGACCAAAATAGCCTCCACCAACCATTCAACATGGAGCCACGACTTGTAAAATTCGTGGTTCTGCCACATGCTACATGTGAAACAGCGTTTCATTCTTTCGGCACGCAGGTCAAGGATAAATAGTTATGAAATACAGAGTTATTCATGCAAGTTTTAATGCTGCAGGATATATCAGGAGATTCAAGTCCCTCCTCCCTGACAGTGTCTGGTGGGTGCTTCTGTGCAGCACTGCAAAATGTTTGCCACCCTCGTGTCACCTTACTGTTGATATCTGAAGGCGGCAGAAACATTAATCCTGATCCTTCCCCATTCATGCAACGCATTTCTCTGGAGGATCCAACCATGGGCTCTTTTTCCCAGTTAGCTGAGGGTGTGGGATACCTAGGACGTGTATGCCTTTTCCCACTTCAGTTGAATTCATTTTGAGTCAGTGACATTCGTGTGGCTTCTCTGAATGTCAACCCATCACTATTTCTGCTAAATTATGCTTGGTGTGACCTGAATTTCTACGTATTAAAACAGAAGCCCAAGCAACCACGAATACACCTTATAGGTCCTGAGCCATCGAGGTGTCTTTCTAACCTGGACACGCTTACAACCAATGCTTTGAGACCGAACGTGACACACGCCTCTCCCTGCTTATGGGAGTATAAGGAGGAATGAGTAATATCCTTATATTCTTACATGATGCTCATCACTGCTGTAAAGGAGGTCATCTACAAAAGAGTAAGAGAGCTGAAAAGCGCATGCGTGTACATATTCATGCATAGTGTCTATTTTTGGAACCAAAACTGCAGGATGAGCCAGATAAAGATATGATGTAGTGAAAAGACGATTCGGTGAAAAGTGATTCAGCCTGTAAAGACAAGTTGACAATGAAGATGGCGTTGTTACATGAACGAGATCCTATCTTTAAGGTTGCACTGATGTGTGATCTAGGAGCCTCAACTAGAAAGCAAGGGTCTTCATGTTGTGATAGTTCAGCTTCTCTAGCTGGAATGATGACTGTTCCTTACTTACAGGCACAACAGCAACACTCTAACCAGACAACCTCCCAGCAGTGCCCTCACGTCTACACAACAGTTCTTCCTGAACAACAGAAGATGGGGTTCACGGCCAGCACCTGAGAGCCTCTGCCCCTCTATGTACCGCCAGGTTTGTTGCAGGATAGTAAAGATTCAGCAGTTTGCCAACAAACACCGTCCACAGCACGAAAGCTTCTGTTCACCATTCAAAAATACACATCCAGAATTATTTGCATCCCCAGAATATTTGCATCCCCAGTGTCATCTAACTTATGACATCTGAAAATAACAGAAATACTAACTGTGATCTTTCCTCCTTCTTGCAGCACACCTCTGGGAGGGAGAGGGGTGAAGGGGGAGGGAAAGGAATCTCCAATATGGGGGAAAGAGTTTATGTTATTTTGGGGGCCACAGAAAAACATATTATTTGATCACTTCATTTTAGTGCATGGGAAAAGATGCAGGAACCAAAGTAGCAGGAGTTCCAAGGCAGGAGATCGGAACTGCTCTTGAATCACCTGCATTCAAGCAGCTTCTCTGCATTCAGGATCTGTCACAGCTTTATGACCTGCAGCAGTTACACAACTCGCTGCACAGCCAGAAGGATGAGTCAGGATGGGGACTTTCGCTGAGATATCTTTCCTGGGTTCTGTTAGTTCCAAGGGCAGCAAAGGAGACAGTATTTACTACACACACCGCACAAAATTCAATGCAATCCATAGCTCGGGGCAAGCTCTATTTGTTAAGATTTTAACAAATGGCATCGTTACCCAGACGAGCCCTGCTCTCTGAGCAGGCCCCAGGAGAACCCAGCAGGCTCCGGTGAGGCTGCATATCAAAAATAAGAAATCCCAGAGTCAAGTAGAAAGTAAGAGGAGCAGCACAGTGCTGTGGCTGCCATCTCCCCCTGCTTCAGCACACTAACCAGCCGCAGAGGCTTTAAGCTGTTGCAACAAATCTCCCCACACTTCCAAATTAACATTTATCTACTAAATAGATGACACCAAGGCACCAGCCAGGCCGGGCCCACAGAGCTGCCTCCTGCGGTCTTAGAATGGCCTGGAGGGAAAAATCAGAGTGTGCTGCTGAACTAAGAAGGATGGGGAGGCCTGCTGCTGGTAACCCTCAGTAACTTCAGTGCAAAAATGTACATGAACTTTTTCAGGGTGCAACTGACGAAGTTTCCCCAAATCCTCCTGCGCACCTTCACCTCAGGACATGAAGAATAGCAGCAAGGCATAGCAGAGAAGAGGCTGAAGCTGCTTTACAAGACTAAAGTTGGAAACTGCAGTTCATAGATACATCTTTTAGACAGTCTAGTTACATCGGGCTTTCAATACATTTTCAAACATCTTAATTTACAGATTCACAGATTTGACAGAGTTGGAAGGGACCTCTAGAGATCATCTAGTGCAACACCCCTGCTAAGCAGGATTGCCTAGACCACATTACTCTATAATACTCTACATAATTTATTTAAAGGTCTCTTAATTTTCTCTACTGAGGAACAATTCTTTCAAAAATGGGGAAACACTAGCAAAAAAATTTAGCCTGGAAAACAACATATGCTGAAATGTACATTCAGAATGTGGATTTTTCAGCAGTTTCAAATCCAGCCTAATAAATGCAGCATTCTGCACAATTCTAAATATGCACATTAGCCAGGATCTGGTAGACAAGGGAAAAAAGGAGGATCAGGTCTTGTCAGCACTTGCTGCAGCAGCACTGGATACTCCACTACTAAGTCTACAGTCTAGAACAGTGTCGCTCTCACCAAAAGCATCACGCAGGAGGATTTTTTGTCCTAAGCACATGGAGGAAGAACAAAAATGTCATAAGATAACATTAAGATGAAAGTTAGACATGAGCAAGTTCTTAAAGGTTAATATGCACATTTTCCTAAAGTTGTACTTATCAAGAACCTGCAATGTTATGGCAATAGGAAAGGATTTGATTTTGTTAAATCATTGAATTACAGAATTGTCAAGGTTGGAAGGGGCCTTTCAGATCATTGAGTCCAACCATCATGAGGATGAATTTTTACTCTTTACTGATTAAGTACATTTGATTACATACAAATACATATCTGTCGTCCTTAAGGAGGGATCTTAACAGAATGGGTTATATTTTAAAGGAATATAAAGGGGAGAGAAGACAGTCCCTTGAGATTTCTGACACATGCTCTGCTGTCAGAAATGAAAGCAGTACCAGAAGAGCTGTTATCAACATCTGCACATATCAAATCCAATTCTTTTTGCCAAAAAAATGACAAGTCTCCAGTTAAGAAGATGACTCTGCTCAGAGAAGCTATTCACAGAAATAAATGCTGGAACCACATGAGTCCCAAATTAACTGTCTATCTATTCATACCAAAGTTGCAAGGCAGCGAGAAAGCAGATGTTTTGCTCAGGCTACAGCCCCTGCACATGTCATCCTGGGGTCTGAAAGCCAAACTGCAATCAGACTGACTTCAGCTGTAACTCTGACCTAAGGCTTTGTCTACACTGTGAAAACTGGCATTTAAGAGAATAAAAAGATAAGTAGCCCAGGATTTTAATTCAAAGTTACTGGCTCAAGTTTAACCTAAAGGCTCCATTAAGCACCTGAACTAGAGCTGTTATCTTCAATTACTTTTTCTTTTGCAGTATTTTAAATACAATTTAGCTAACACGAAAAATTAAATTTCTCCCCTTCCCACTCCCTGTTGTACTTAGCTTCTTATGTCCTTATTGCATGTGCAAGCTGCAGAGGCGGGAGAGGGGAGGCAGTGCCCCTCAGAACGTGTGCCAGCAGAGGTGCAAAGGCTGTGGGGGAGGCAGCAGCAGCCAAACCATAACAGTTTAAGTTTCAATGGCTGTGGTCAACAGACCTGATCAACAGGAACATGCAAACAAGGAGCACAACCCACAGCACAAGAGATGCTCACTTGTAGAGCTGCTTTCCTGACCATACTCGCCCTTTGCAGCAGGAGCCTGGCTGGTACAGAACACCTCTTAAAAGCTACACAATATTTGCATTCAGGGCTGCAGAGTGGGCTGTTAAGATTTACATCTAATCCCCAACTCCTTCTAGCAACAGATTCCACTGCATCCAGATTGTGTCTTCATGTATGTTTTGGGGATTTGTTTTTATTTTTTATAAAACTTCATACTCTGACAAAAATTGGAAACAAGTGAAAAAACGTATTTATACACCATAATACTTTCCTTGGCTAAGATTTAGAAAAGCTTTTGGATTAAATATATCGCATTTTCTGTCCCAAGTGAATGTAAGTAATTGGCTTCTCTTTTATCCTTCCCTCCTGCATACATTATTCACTGCAGATAACATTTTATCAATTTAACAATAGCATTCCTTTACAAAACCAGCTCAGGACCAACTTTTATAAACAGAACAAAGAGCTCAGCAGCTGTATAAAAATACATAAAACTATAAAGGAGAGACGGTGAAGTTGACAATAAAGTCGAGTTAATCTGGACACACTAAGCAGCAGTCACGGAGCACATGAAACAACTGCGTCCGAATACCGGGTTTGAGCTGAAGTTCAGATTGTGCATCATGGGCTCTAGCACTGGAGACTCCTCTCTCCAGAGTTTTTTTTCAGGAAGTAGCATCCATGCACATGAAAAAAGTAAGTACAGGTGTTTTTCTAGAGTAGAAGTAAGTAGGTATTTCTGAATTCCATGTAAATTTTCAATTAAAATTGAAAAAGAACATTGAATCTCCATTAGAAAGGAAGTTACAATTCTTACCTTTGTCAACTACATCCCAGACTTCGACTTTAACAATGTCGTCAGTGGCTGAAAGCACAAGAAGAACACAAAGGGTTAGAAGGGGTTTCAGTAAAATGACCAACAGTCAGCACTCCCCATGAGAGCCCAACCCAAAGCCAACACAGGCAAAGCAGGAGGTGAATGGCAGAAGAAAAGTCATTATTGAGTCAGTTCAAAGAAAACCCAAACGAAACAAGAATGGTTGCTGCTGAAGGTCCAAGTTGTACACCAAAACCATGCTATCTAAAGAACTTGTTAAAGACCCCGAGACAAATAAGCGATAGCCAGATTTCCTTGATGTTTTATCACAGATTTGAAGCATGTTACAAGCATTTTCTCTAGATTCTTTTCATAACATGCAGAGGTTTCCATATTCTTTTTAAAAAAAGATACAAATTTAATTTGGACAATAAAGTCTGGTCTGTAAGCAAGGTGCACAACCAGAAAAAAAGGAATATACACATTTAAGAAAGATCAATTTTACTAATAGCATCTTCATGAGAACATGACAAACAGTGCGGACAGTCCTGCGGCTCCAGAAATCCATTCTGCAAATTTCAAGTAGCATTTTGTGAAAAATAAGATTATTACTAGCAATTTCACCTCTTACCAAACTGCAGTACCAGTAAATTATACGCAGCTCAACTATATTTGAGTTACTAAAATCTGAAGCAAGACAACCAAAATTCTAATTCCAGACACCCCTGTCAGTACGGACACTCGGCAGCAAAGCTTCCAGCTGGCAGGAGAGATGTGCAGCTCTGCTTAGATGGTTCTAATGAATCCAAATAAGCAGCCCCACCTTCAAGAAGTTGCTACAAGAAACGGTTGCTTTTTGGAAGTGCTACAGGCTACAAAGCAAAAGCCTGTACTTGAAGCAGCTCTGAACATAAAAAGCAATGGAATAGGAGGATAATGTCTCAGAGCAGAAAATAATCTCATAGGATGGCAGGAGAGTTCAGCTAAACCTCATTGTCAAGCCAGGGAACATTTTCTCTACAGAATTCACTGCTGGCTAAACTTCAGTGTTTCAAAATATTGTAAAGACAGATTATGAGTAAAGGAAAACTTTGATCCTCTGCTTCTGGAGAAAGATCCTATTTTACATTTATGCATGAAGCAAAATCAGCCTCTGTTTTTCCTCACAGCAACTCCCGCTTACCTTCCCCTTTGCCAGCAGGGCCATGAGGCACAAGCGCAACAGGAGACCTGCCCAGGCTCAGATGGGACTGCAAACACAGCAGGTGCACAGCAGTCTGTGGTCCCGAGACCGCTGCTCAAACCACTGCACTCTCCAAATTAGTATCACAGAATCATAGAATTGCCTGGGCTCGAAGGGACCTTTCAGACCATTGAGTCCAACCATCAACATAACACTAACAAACCCAGCACTAACCCATGTCCCTCAGCACCACGTCTGCCTGGCTTTTAAATACCTCCAGGGATGGTGACTCAGCCACTTCCCTGGGCAGCCTATTCCAATGTTTGACAACCCTTTCAGTGTAAAAATTTTTCCTAATATCCATCCTAAACCTCCCCTGGTGCAAATTACTTCTGTCCCTGAATATTTCTACAGACCATCAGGGTAGGCACGGCTGAAGTCCAACCACTCCCCATCACTCACTCTCCTGGCCCCCAGCTGTAGGGCTGGCTCCTCACGCCCAGGCACCGCAGCCCCAGCACAGGGGCTGATGAGTCCATGGCTGCTCTGGATGCACCATGACCCTGCAGGTGCAGCCAGTGGAGGTCTGTCCCCAAAGTCACACCCTGCAGCTGGAACTGGCAGTGCTGCTGCTGAAGGACAAGGGGATGGACGGACGAGCAAAGTCAACCTTGGCAACAGTCAAGACTTTCTGCAAAAGGAAAACATCTCCTGGCCTTTCTCAGACAGCAAACTTTGCAGGGGCACAGGCAGAGGCCAGTGTCACTTGTTCTTTCCAGCCGCGCCATGTGAAGCAGGACCTAAACACTAACAAGGTGCTTCCATGGAGAAGCTGGAACCCCATTCCAGCCCGTGGGGTAATGTGCAGGAGGTGACCCAGTACCCGAGACTTTGCTCCTGAGCTCCAGAGATCTCCACCTCCTCATCCTAAAGCCAGACGCACCCTCAGTCAAGATTCGTTCTGCTGCCAAGTGATTTCTGCAGCACTGATGTCCTGCTGAGCAGCAGCACCCCCAGAATCTGCGGAGTTGAACCGTTTGACCCAGGAAGACCTGCTCTATACCCTTTTATCTGAGGGGAAGCACAGAATTTCACAAAGGACCCAACTGCACGAGATCCAAGAAAACCATTTTTCCACGTGGGTTCTTTCCCTGTTAGCACCACTGCTCCCCTAACTTCTTCCTTTTCACCACCAGCTTCATTCCTGATTATCCTGAACACACAAGAGGGTAATTACTTTAGTGCTGCTGTGTTGGCTTTGGTATGACTCACACACAGCAGCATTTCACCTTAATAGCTTTGGAAAGCACGTTGCTGCAAAACAGAGTGCCGATTCATCCTTTTAACTTGCATTAGCAGAAACCATGGATCAAACCAGTCAAAAGATCTGTACTTAGCTGTGATTTGGCTAAGGACTCTGTAGCTGTGACATTGCTTCCCCCAAAAACAGTGGAGAGGTATGAAAGACTCCAACTGCAAGAAAGCTCATTTAAAAATGCGAATCATTGCTCTATGGGTGGGTTCATCACCAGGAATTCACAGACTCTTGGACATATTTACTCTCATGCAATTACATGATTCACTTCGTATGCTTTGGATCACAAACCCTGCAGAGCAGAGCAGCTATGCACTTCCTCTCACGCAATCATAAACCATTCAAAGTATCTGAAGAAAAGCATTTGCCAATTTTTTTTCAGACTCCCTTCCTGAGACTGCCAAACAGAGAATAAAATTAGTGACTAGCAGAATCTAAACAAGCATTTATTAGAGTCAGGAATGGCAACTCCTTACTTGGACACAAAAATGACAAATATCCATTGCAGAGACAATTGGAACAGAAAAGTAATTTCGTTCATTCCAAGTAGGAAGAAATAACTCAAAGTATTCTACCTTTATTAATTCCTCCAGTATAAAATTTCTGAAGATCTGACAAGGTGGTACATTCCACATCTAAAATGTAAATCTTCTAATACTAGACAATGTAAGAATCCTTCAATATTTGACAGCGATTTAATTAACATCCGTAAATATTTGCTGCCAGCTACCTCATAATGTTTATTCAAGGTAGTTTGAGAGCATGATCACAGGAAAACCAAACTTCATTCTTCCTCTAAAGATTAACTCAGCCAATAGGATGGTCATTAGATCTGAGCTAATTTCTCAGAATGCCCACATCACCCACCTCGGACGGAAAGTTTTCACAGCAGGAAACATAACCTTACAACGTTTTTTAAAAAGGGGGTTATTTTTTAAAACAAGTTTTAAGAAGGTCAACGGAGAATTCCCTATACTGCTGGAAGTTATTACTAAGAAAATAATACAGTGTTTTACAACGTAAAAGAAACACAAATGCAAGGTGCAATTTCATGTATAGCCTTCCAGATACTCAGACTAGCTCGGCAACACTTCACCTTGAAAAATATGTACACATTGCTGTCAACTCTAACCAGCAAACCCTACATAAACATATCACGTAAGCACTAGAAATAACAAATATACCTGTGGTTACCAACATACAGCAAAACCTGCCTCACGTGTAGCTGTTCTCTACCCCAGGATTGCATCCACATTGAAAAAGCCAGTGCCTAAGCCTCAGCTCAGTAACAGAGCACACAGTCCCTGAAATATGCAGAAACACATGAGACAACTGGATCTCTCTACATGGAACAGTCTCTAAACACCATTTTCCATGTACACAAAAACCCATATAGGTGCAGTCTGTACACCTGTTCATGTACACAAAACCAATTAGGAATGAATAAGGATCTTAGAAATCAAATGCCAGACTCCCAGGCTGCACTTACAGACAGCACTTGTATGATCTGTGCTGATCAGAGAGGAAACCAAACTCTGAAATTTTTACCTATGATATCACAGAAAACCACAATTAACGTTCAGTGCACTCTTTAGACGTGGATACCTAAGAAAGAGGTATTTCCCTTCTTATTCTGATCTAAGTCCGATTAGGCTGAAGCACTCAAGTTTGGTTTTGGAGATCGTTTCCATCATCCAGACAACTCATAAGCTCTGTGTTCCCACACCAATAACTGCTTCCTCTGAGAGAGGAAGAGGAGTGTGGGGGAAGGAAGCCACAGCTGAAATACATCATGGCAGAGGTTTTGCTGCAGACGGGGAACACTGCTGCAAGAGCCCTGCAGATCCATCAGCGCCTTGGGCCAGCTTGTAGGCATCGGGAAGACGGTACCCAAAATAAAGATACTTTATGAAGAAATGTAGAAGCCAACAGGCACACCTCTACATTACTGTCACATGGAGAGTCCCCATGAAAGAATCTGAAAACCTGTGACATCAGGTTTAGCTCTACATCAGATCCTGAACAAGAGAAAACCGCTAGTTGCACTGAGGAAGGATGACCTGTTTATCTCCCACATCCAAGGCAAATTACAACCCTCCATCCTTATAAACCTTTTCAACCTTTCTCAAGAGAGAGCTGCCTCACGTGAAAGTCTGTCTCCATAAGGGCACGAGGGTCTCCAGAGCACTGGTTACCAGCTCCCCCTGCGTGGACACCTGCAGTGTCTGCTCGCCCTCCTCGTGCGGAAGCCTGTGAAGCCAACAGACCGAGAGGGCTGTCCCCAGGCTGGCTGCTGGTGAGCACTCCTTGTGGCTCTGTGGTCATTATCACAAGACTTGGGCATCACGATCCCATCCAGCATGACAAATTTGATTGGTAAGTTAGCCGAAGCGCCCAATTTGGTGTTTACCCAAACTACACAGGTTTTTTCCCATCTCTGAGGAGACAGAGAGTACCTGATTCAACCAAAGGTCAGAGCGGCACAGATGGACAATGTTCGATAATGACAAACTGCTGACCTTTTTTTTTAAAGCAAAATCAGTCTTATAGAACAAGTTCATAATGAAACAGTAGTTCACCCCACCAGACCAGCATTTTTGATCAGGAACCTGAAAGCTGGGCTTAATACACTGTTGGATCAATTTCAATGTCTGCAGTTGTTCTCCAGGCAAGATCCAGGGCTGTCAAAGTCCCTTTATGCCATCAGAGCAGATAGGGAAAATAAAAAAACCTCGCACCTCATCTCTCAGACTCAAACAATGCTAAAAAAAAAGCCACTGATAAGATACATCTGTGCTTCAGTAAGTCACCTTGAGTTAGCTGTACTACTACTGTTTTTAAAACATCACCTTCACCAGTTACAGGATGCTCTTTATATTTTAATCGGTAAAAAACTACTTTGCACCATGTTATACACTTCTGGGCAACAGTAACACTAAGAGCAGGGTTAGCCTCAGAGACAGATTCCCATAATAAACCTGTTTTTATTAACAAGTCAAGCATATCACAAATATTTCAAATCTTTTGCATCACCTATTAAACACTTTCCTTGAATTGCAGCTTCCAAAGACCTATCCTTTAGCACTTATAACATAGTTTCTGAGTAAACTTTTTAAAAACACGACTGAGAAGCTGTGAATAATAAAGTAAAATAACAAGAGAGATGAGAGACCATTTTATCTCCCAAGCAGACATAGAAGAAAGAAGCAAAGGAGACTGCAGTGGAATTTCTACCCCGAAGGCACTGTCCCATGACCGTCACTCCCTCCACCCTCTTCCATCTTACTTTTATAATTCCAGTGGATGCTGGTGACTTGGATCTCCTGAGTTGGAATATATTCCTCAATAAATTTCTTTCCCTGCAGTCGGTGCCAGAGTGTGGTTTTCCCAGTGTTCCTGTCCCCACGGATGACAATTTTCACTGGGGAAAAGAGCAAGCATACAAATAAAGTTGATTAAAAACAAATCAAAGAATGCTGCGAAAAGCATGTTAATTTTTTGCAAGCATTATTCAGACATAATTAGTTCTCCCATATTACACAGGCATAGATGGGGTTTGTTAAAATACATGAGCCTCAGTCATTAAAATCAGTGTTTATTGAGCTGCTCACACTAGCTCAGCAGAAAGAACCAACATCAAGATTGAATCTTCAAACCCTGCACAACTTCAGCCAGCTGAGTCTCCACTCCTTCCACCCTCCTGCCTTCTCTACCTCCACCCAGTCCTAACTCCTGCTTGGCCACACTCCAGCCTTTGCCAGCTTTACCTCCTCTGTCATTCCCACTTCTCCTTAAACACTTATCTTTCCTTGAGAAAATACTCACTTCCTAGACTCAGTTGCCCCAAGTCCCTGAAAGCTCAAGGACGGGTTCTCAGGGTCCTGAGTTCAGAGGTGCTGCTCCCCACATCCCACAGGGGTGCAACTCCGAAATCCGGCACCGGTGAAACCGGTTCTTCTGGGATGGTGCTGGAGAGCTGAGGCAGCTTCTGGTGAACATCCCCACAGAGTTAAGCTGTCAGCGCTCGCAGCTGTCCCTGGCTTTCTGGCACTGGGGCAGCATCCCCTTTTCCAGGGGAAGCGGAACAATGCTGTGTATTGCTCACAGCCTGGATGGTCTCAGATGAGGGCACAATCCCTGGCAGGGACAAGGGGCAAGGCAGTGAACATTCACAAGTATCTATCTTAAACTGCCCCCAGTAAATTCACCAAACTGCCTCTGTTGATGGCCACAGTTTGATCCAAATTAAATCAAAATCAGTCTACCTTATATGCATTAGAAAGAAGCTAAACTGAACCAAAACAATCATGCCCTGTTGGGGACATAAACTCACTTCAACAACAGGGAAATTAACCCAAGAGAAACTGCATCTCTGAGGGTCCTCTGTGTGTCGGAGGGACGGTCTCCCCCACAGGAGCCAGCCCTCGGCTGGTTTCAGGTGCAGGAGCACTGATGGCACTCAGCATTCTCCGAATCTGCACCCTTGGGTACAGACACAACAGCCCCAGTTCCACCAACTGGCCTCACACCCGGCTCATCTCCCACCATGTTCGTGTCTCTGCTTCTGCACACGCTTGCACCCACCGTGGGGTGGATGGAAAAACCCATTCAGACCCTTCCAAAGAAGTGTCCATCATATCACCAAGTGTACACAACCCGGCTAAGTAACCTCTGTAGCAATTAATATAATGAACTTTCCAGTCTACCCTAATGTTACTGTGCTCTTTCTGAAAACAGTATGTGGTGTTTTCCAAATTCTCTGTTACATTATAGGATTATTTTTTTTTTTAAAATGCTATCCTTGTTGTAAGTGGCAACCACAAGGCTATTAGGAAAGGTAAGCTGACTTGAACAGAATTTTTATGCTTGCATTTTGAATAGGAGCTATTATCCACTAGAAAATGGGCCATTCAGAGACACCTAATGGCAGATTCAGGTGATTTGCATTAGGTTGCGCATCATCATTTGGGCATGGAAACCTCAGGCTGAAGGCTGCCTTCTGTTGTAACTCACGAGCTATTGCAACCATTGCAGAGAAAAGTTTAAGAGGTAAACTTTAAAGGTTTGTGCTGGATTTGGCTTAGATAGAGGTAATTTTCTTCACAGTAGCTGTTACGGGGCTGCGGTTTAGATTTGGGCTGGAAATAGCATTGATAACACAGGGATGGTTTAGTTATTACTGAGCAGTGCTGGCACAGTCATGGCCTTTTCTGCCTCTCACCCCGCCAGCGAGGGCCACGTGGCATCATGCTCGGCACATAGAGCTGGGGGAAGGAGAAGGAAGGGGGGACGTTCAGAGCGATGGTGTTTGTCTCCCCAAGTCACCGTTACACTGATGGAGCCCGGCTGTCCTGGGGATGGCTCAGCACCCACCTGCGATGGGGAGCGGGGAATGAATTCCTTGGTTTGCTTTGCTTGTGCGCGGCTCTTGCTTTCCCTGTTAAACTGTCTTTACCTCAAGCCATGAGAGTTCTCACTTTAACCCTTCTGATTCTCTCCCCCATCCTGCGGGGGGGTGAGCGAGCGGCTGTGTGGGGCTTGGTTCCCGGCCGGGGTTAAATCTGACAAGGTAAAGCAGCCAATGCTACAAAGCCTGTGGAAGAGTTTTGTATGGTGAAATTTTGTGCTGCATTTTCACTGTGGTTTTTCTGCTGTACACTGAGACATACTGTTATTTATTCTTTTACAAAGTTACTTATTAAAATAGCAAAAGGATAATAAAGGCAAAAATGAACACAGTGTTTATAGGCTGAATTCACTTACAGTTCTCAGCAAATCTCTGCAGAGACAACAAACCATTTCCTGTCGCTCTGTGCGTGATTCTCTTTCCTATTTACAGATGGTGGAACAATCAATGCAGGGTCCCTTTGATTTTTCTGAATCAATGCAGCAAGTCCATGGCATAGGCAGAATGAGATTCCATTTGTCCCCTTTAAAAGCCAAGGCTTTCTAAATGCTCCCTGCCTACCTTAGAGAGTCATTTTAAAATTCACATTCCCCTACAAAGTGCAGCATGAGACACCCAGTGAGTTTTAAGGGACGAACACATCCTTCCCTAAACAGTTATGCTGCTCTCAAGGTGCCCTCTCAGGATCGCTGCCAGACGACTTGCCTGTGAACTCTACCCGGAAGGGGCAATTTTACCTCCCCTGGAACTGTCCTAGTACCACAGCATTATTTACACACCTACACATTAAGCTGGATCAAGGAATTGACTGGCTGAAAACTAACCCCAAAATTATTCCTTCTCAGCTTTCTGAAAACTGTTTCCTGTGCAGGAGGCAGCACACGGGAGGCACCGCTGGAAGGGCAAGGAGACCAACCCTGCCCCGACCAGCTCTAGAGCAACACAGGGTGCTCGTGGCACCACATGCTCAGTTTGAACAGGTCCAGCAGCCCTTTCCAGCTGCAGCAGTCTCCATGTTAGGATCTCTTTCCTCCTGTACAATGAGTTTTCACTGACTTTTCTCCTGAAGAAAGAAAAAGTCTTTAAAAACAGAACAGGAAGGCGGCAGGTGTTTAGCAACACAAAATCTGTACTTGGGACTTTGGCTGGGGCAGGTCTATTCAATGACAGGTATCTGCAAGACAAGAAGAGCCAAGTGAGCTTGAGGGCCAGGCCAGGCAGGTCCATCACAGACCTGGGCCATGTCTGAATGTGGAAAGAGAACCAGTAATTATGGGTGAGGTAAGTTCTGTTACCTACGGACAGGAACAATCACTGCCTTATTTTGATTTTAAGTTAAATCAGTACTTATTGCAACAGCCATAAGTTTGAGGAAAGACAGGAGAATTACCTGTGGGAAGAACGGTGGGGATGGGGAATAGATCAAGACGTGAGGAAAAAGCTAAACAGATCACTTCATTCATATTGTCACTGCATCAGGAAAAACAGAGGGATTTCCACTCTCCAGCTGGGGAAATGGAAGCAGAGCAGTGAAGATACAGGCCCAGAGAGCAGGTCTCAGAGCGGCTCAGTTCCAGTGAGGAACTCCCAGCTCTGCCCATACTCCTCAGGTCACTGCAGCAACTGAGGATCTCACATCCCACAGCTGATCCCCAAACTTCTCTGCTAACAATCCCCATACAGAGGGTCATAACCTTGCCCTCATCTTCGGGACTGCAACTACAAGGCCGCAATTCAAATGCTTTAAGCTGGTTTTGCTCCCAAAAGCAGTACACCCGATCTGCAGCCACCCCCAGGGATGCTTCCCAGGGGGCACAGCTCAGGCAGAGCAGGGCTGTCACAGGGGGCACGAACACCCACCTTAACAGGAGCAGAAAACATGAGAAGGTGGGAAGCAGCAGGACAAGGGGAAACCTTTCTTTTGGGAATAGTGCTGCATGAAAACACTTAAAACTACAATCAACTACTACTCTCAAAAAACACAAAAGAAGGATTATAATTATTACCAAAAGGATACATGGTATTAATTTTAAATTTTGTCTTTTAAAGCATGTTTTAGGCAGAGAAGTAATAAGGGGAGGGTCTGGGGGGAATTCTTGGAGGGTACTGACTGGTATTTCAGCACAGGTGACTGTCGAGGTGACTGTGACATGCTTCAGGCACACAGTGGGGGCAGTTTGTCGGGTGCTGAGCACTGGGTGCAGCATTAAGAATAACGCCCAGAGCAGGTGGCGTGCTGTGTCCTGGCAACAGGATGGATGGATCTGAACCTTTAGCACTGCCACATCTTTTGCTCCTGTCACTGATGATCCATGGATAACTCCCAGGGAATCCTCTTGCCAGTGCAACCCAGCCAGAGCCCTTCATTTCACCCTTGTTTGCCCATTGTTGCCTTACATAAATTTTCATGTTTGAGTATCCTGGTGCTGGTACTTCCTTCTGTAATTTGTCTCATAATTTGTTTAAACAAGCACCACTGCCAAAGGAACGGGTTCCACCTCGTGCACTCTCCAGCAAGCCCGCTCGCTCTGGCCTGTGCCACCCTCCCTGGGCCAGCACCGCTGTGCAAACCACCATCAGCAGACCTGACCCAAGTTCAGGCTACCCCGAACAGGAAAAAAAGAGCAAGTTTCTATAAAGATCAGTTCCCCATACTCAGAACCAACCTGATCTCCAATAAACATCTGAGCCATTATATATGTGGTACTGACCCACATCGTTTTCATCTCTGTACCCTCCACAGTGCTCAGGGAACTCCGGTGTTATTTGGGCCACTGTATGTAAAACACAGGAGCTCTGTGCAGATGATAAAGAGAGCAAACAAGGAGTGTGTATGCTGGGAATGCAATATGAAAATGCTTTTGCTTTGAAATAGGATGCCCCATGCAGAGGATGTGACTGCTGCCAAGGGCTAATACTGGCCTTTGCTCTCATCGTTTCATTAGAAATCTAAATCTACCCACCCTGCAACTCTCTGCCTTTTGAAAACTTTGCTGAGTGGGAGAGAGACCGTACATTTTGGTTCAACTTTGAGGGGCACACTGTCCAGTGCTTGTAATCCTCAGTGCCACTAACACATCACACCATCTTCAGTATCGCCTCAAACTGGGGGCTGTCTGGTTACAAACTGGAGTTGCCAGCTGTGAAGGCTGGCACAGCACGTCCTGTTCCCAGCCCTGCAGCAAGGTACCGAGAGCCAGGTGATAAGGCCCATGTCTCAGCAATTTGCTGCCCTTTTTATCAGGGAGCAACTCAAGGCATTCTCAGCACACTAAATACACTTCCAAGAGGGAAAGAGGCTTCAGCCAGTAATGGTCTATGAAAGCAAGGAAACGTTTCTGTAAGACCAGTCATCACAGTGCTCTTTGGTTTAGGTTTCGGCAGCTCCAGGGGAATGGTGGACTTTCAAAGATCTTTTCAAAGATCATTTGTTAATGGTGGCTACAAAACACCCTCTGCATCCTGTGTTGAATGTCATGCATTTGGTAAGAAAGGAGCCCTGGCAACGTGCAGGATTTGCAGCTCTGCCCTTCCTCAGCAATGGCCCTTGTAAGGACATTCCTTTACAGCCCACCTTCACCTGAGATCACAGCCTCACCATGCTGGAACTGGCCCCTCTCCCCCGTGCCGTGGCTTTGTAGGAACTTTGAAGCCCTTTCGTAATCCTGCCTGTGTCTCCTATAAATATTATATAAGAGTGATCCCGCAAGAGTTACTATGGAGATTGGAAAGCTTCCCTTCAGGCAGTGACTGAAAGCTGCAGTTTTATTCCAGATATGAAGGCAGTAACTAGAACACAAATCCTGATAAAGCAGGGCGCAGATGAAAAAGCTTTCCTGAGGCTTTCAGCAACACAACAAAAAGCAGCCAAGCTACAGTTGGCGGCCCAGCTGTTGGCATTTTTGGCCTTGCTGCATTAATGGCAAGCAGGTATACACAGCCACGCCGGTCCGTCCACACTGCAGACAGTCAACACGTCCCCGTCGGCTGCTGTGCCAGCAGGATGCAGCTGATCCAGACTGTCTGCAGCACAAACATTCACCCTCTGAAAAGTCAACTCCTCTCTCCTACATTATTCACATGCTGGTAAGAGCTACCTGATCTCCACACGCCCCAGTGAGGCACGTGGACATGTTCTGGTCTGTGGCTGCATGAAGTCTCTGCACACATCAATGCTCTTTAACCAGCAGATCTCCAAGTACTTGTTTAACCCTGCAGTGCTGTATTCCAAAGCACCACAGTTTCATCCTCATGCCCGGCCTCTCACTGGAAATCAAGTCTCTTAACAACACTGTGCTTCTGTTCACATTCCTGACTGCTTGCTAAGACACTAATTTTCTAAATAAAGGCACCAAATGCTCTCCCTAGTAAAGCAGAGAGCTTCAAAACTTATCAGTTCAAAAGCATAGTCAATAGTGATAATACTAATAAAAAAAATAAATAACCCAACCTCAAACGCCAAAGTGCAAACTCCTCCCTTCATGTTTTCTTTCGAGTTAAGATCCAACATAACCTCTATTCCTCCAACATGGGTGCCTTTGCAGAATTTATTCAGTGCCATGTTTACAAATCAGTCGCTTTCCAAAGCGCCAGTCTTGGCCTTCTGCAGTCTGACTTCCCTGCCTGGATCCACACCGAGGAGCTGATACTCACAGTGCTCTCTGGTACCATCTCTATTTTCAGCAAAGATGACATAACGACCATCCCTGTCTCACAATTGTTATTTTGGGATGTATTTCACATACCCTCTTTAAACATTGTATTAGAAGTAACCTTTACTGAGCATCAAGGGAAAAACACAACCCTAAGCCTCAACACTGAAAGGAAAAAAATTCTGAAAATGTTCCCTGAGAAAACAGGAAACGTATCAGTTGCAGAAACAGATAGTCAGAATGCAATTATAGTCTAAGGGCACATAAAGGCATACATCCCTCCCCTTTTATTGAAGCCTGGCAGGGCAGAGCTTTTCAATAGACCCTTATCACATAACCACTGGAGCTTAATTATAAACACCATTATCCTGGGCTGCAGGGAAGGTCACCCACACACTCAGGGGAGTTACTCTCTTGATGCTTTAACTGACAAAAATTGATTTACAAGGAATTCTCTCTTGTGCCACAGTCAGCAAAAGCAGGCAGCCGCTCAGGACATCTGCTGACTGGGGCCACGGCCGCACCACAGGTTCCAAGTCCCGCACAGAAAGAGAAAAGTTTCCCATCCCTCACTCCTCCCACACTTCTGCAAGCTCTAACATCTCGCTGCAAACTTGGCTTTGGGCGAACACTGGCAAAAATACTGCCAAGCACAACCAAAGCATATGTACCTTGCAGTCCCACCGCGCTCTGGGACACCAGACAGGTCGGCCCGACACAGCTCGCCCCCCGCCAGACCCCCCGCCCCTGGGCTCCGACTCACTGTTATACTGGACTCCCTTGGCAAACCTCCTCTGCAGAGCCTGGTTCATGGACTGCAGCCCCGCAGGGATATTCTTGTCTCTGACCGGCGTCTGGTCCGAGCCCACCAGCTTCTTCAGGGCCGAGAACATCTTTCTGGTCCCACACCTGCGCCACCACCTGCGGGAGAAGTGCCGCTGCGCCGGGGCTCAGGGGCAGGGCGGCCCCGGGACGGGGGGCATCGAGGGGGGGAGTGTCACGGCGGCGCAGGGAAATCAGGGCCGGGGCAGGGCTGGGCCGGCCATGAGGGGCCTCTCGGGCTCGGCAGGGCGGAGGCGTGCGGGCTCGGCCCGGCCCGGCCCGGCGCGGCCGGGAAGGGGTTCAGCCGGGGCCCCGCCGTGTGCCGCAGTGGGGGAGCGCTAACCGGGCATGGCCCGGGGCCGGGGCGGCGCGGGGGGACA